ATGGTGTTTAACCCAGCCTCTCTCATCTTTGCGACAATCTTTAACATGTTTGAAGGTTGTTGCTGTGTTTGCCCTCAATCTGGGCATCTTTAGACTAAATAAGCTCGACTCCCTCAGTCTTAGGCTTTCCACTTCTCCTGACCACAGCCTGTGGATCCCAGAAGGTCCGTGCTCCTCTGAAGAGCCTTACAGAGGTGCACTCTGTGTGTGTTCTGTTAAAGGTGTGGGGTTGATTTCAGTCCAATATCTGGCCCTTGAAGCCCTCACATCCTTCCCAGTGTTCTACCTTAAAATAGGTTATGCTTTATTACTGACTTCTCGTATCCTACACAATACATAATGTGTCGTACCCAGCAGTTGGACATCAGGTAAGAAAGAAGGGGTTATTCAGGGATTTTTTTCTGAAATACTGACATTTTCCAGGAATGTAAATTTTGTGTTTCAGTAAGTCCTCGCTGTGATCTCTCCGGGTGTAGCCTACAGGGTACTGTGTTATTGCAAGTTACTGGTTTGTTGTACCTTAGCTCTCAGAAGTGCTCAGCTGCTTGCTTTGTGGGTGGCTTCCCACTTAATTGAGACTGAGTTTGTTTGACTTATAAAGTGAGAACATTTAGGTTTGTGATCCACAGTGATTCATCTGTTCTTTACCCAGCTTCACAATCTGCAGGCCAGAGCACTTGTAAGTTTAAACTACATTACCATGTCATTACTTATGGGAAATAAGCATTGGATTTAGATTTAGAGGTCATGAAACTATTTGAATTAATTACGTGGCTAATATACACAGGCTATCGTCATTGGCTTCTAGCTGCATTCATCTGTCCACGCTGCTGATGTTAGGCTGCACAGGTCAAATTTCTCAGCTTATGGTGATGTCCAATCTACTGGTTTCAACAGATGGCATCTGAAGACTAAGCAATGAAATATTTAATGTAACGAGCTTACTTCAGACTTTGGAGAAATTTGGTAAGCAGAAACGAAGAAGTTGGGAGAAATTCCCAGGATATCTAAGTTGGAGCGAGTGGAGTCATTTACCCAATGCTGTGAATAATTGCATGTCCGTGATAGGGAAAATTGGACATTGGTGACTAATTAGTCTTTTGTTTATGTGGGTTCTGAAAAAATGTTGCTGGTTTCCTTCTTTGACAATAGGTTTATAAATGCAGTCATAAAATAATGACAAAAGTAAAGCGATTTGTAATTTACCAAATACTTTTATGGTTTCCTCCCACTGAACGAGATACACAGAATAATAATTGTGTATGCAGAGGTTCGTGTTGGAAGGGTCCACTCGCAAGTTAACAAACACGAATGGATTGTGTACAGGCCTAATTAACTTCAGAAAAGAAAATAACCCATTGTTGAACTGTCCAGTGAGTAATGAAAGTTGGCTCATTTAAACCAAGGAAAAGTGAAGCTCCCTGAAGGCCGGGGATCCTTGGCTTTATTTTTCATCCAGGAACAAGAGAATGGTTTAGAGCTCATGTAGATGGTGAGAGTCTTCTAATTTTTTTCCAAGGCTTGAGCTTAGATGGGCATCACCTAAAAGATGTGGGCATTATATTCGAGGGAAATATTGCCTGGCGACATCTGCAGACTCGTGATACCGAAGGTGTTACATAAACTATGCTCTGAAAAATCACCCAGCTGCACTATTTCCATATTAAAGCTGTCTAAAAGGAATGCTTGTGCATTCCCATTTGTAACTGCCTTCAGCTTTATCGTTATCTGCAACCCAGATGTTTTCTGTACAGCAACTTTTTTTGTTTTACTCCTCTTCCCATCCAGATGAGGTCAGTAAGTAATGGGGGAGCAATTTGTCTCTTTCCCCCCAAACCCTGCATCACCTTTCCTTCAGTTTCCACTTTTCCAGAGAGCTCGTAAGGTGTCGTGTGTTATGTTCTTAATAACAGGGTGGGCTCTTCCACACCCATTTAATGCTGTCATTGCAGTACTTTGATACCAGGCTTGTTGAAAAAGCATCATTTCACTTCCTGGCCCGTGCAGAGCTGTGTCTAATATACCTGGTGCTGGGGGAAAAGGTGAACTACTTTATGTTTCCCCTTTGGCTACTAATTTTGGCCACTAACCAGGCACACGGGGCCAGAGGGCACAAAGGTGTCCCAGAGCCCAGGCTGAAAGGAGGGAAGGATTTGCTGGCTCGCTGCTGGACTTTTGGGTTTTTTTAATCCCAATTTTTGATATTGAGAAGGGTTTGTTAGCACAAGGCAGAGAGGTTCACAGTAGCCAACCTTCTCTTCCTGCCCCCCGAGACAGCCCACTCCACCACTTCCTCTGGGTGCAGGAAATGTTGCTGTAATCATAAGTGTATATTATATTAGCATAATGTCCTATCAATAAGAGCTTTCCCGTCTCCTTCACTTTCTGCATTCTGGCAGGACTTTCAAACTAAACAGAAATGATTTTTGCATTCCTGTTCTCCATGACATAAACATAATTTAATAAAAACAGTTTGAGTTCTTAGAGGAAAAGAAACATTTTCAAGAAACAGTGCAACCATAGAGCACATCTGCTTTTTCTCATGCTGTGATCCATATTGACTCACCGGGTAACACCAAACGAAACCCAGCGCTTTTGGACTCTGACAGACCCATAAAGACAGCTCTGACTTTTCAGAATTGTCAACAGCTTTTGAATTACTATTTGGCCTCATCAACAGGAGCTGTTGGACACTGACTGGACACTTTGAGTTGGCAGATTAGATGATAGATCCCAGATTTTTCGGCGTTTTAGACTGTAACTGTGTGTGCCTATCATCCTGTGCTGGCAAATTCTTACATGTAAAAGTCACTAGATTGTTATACAGAAATGAAATGGTCTCAAATACGAGCTCAAATACAATTGCACTTGCCCTGGAGCTCTGGACTAGAGAAGGTGGGGTAAGCAGCTTATCAAACCCACCTCAGCAAAGATTCTGTGCCCTCTGTCCTTGCAGGTGTGGAGCCAGGTCTCCTGTAGAGAGAAAAGCTGTGTGGTTATGAAGCCATTGAGAAGCACATAGTGCACTGGATGGTGTTACAGGAGAGCTGATGGCCCCTGAGTAACAGTTCTTTTGGAAATTAGTACATAACTTCAGCCATTTCCATGGGAAGGTTATGGCAGTCTCTTGGAGAAAACATCAAATGGAACCATCTGGGATGGACTCCCTTAAGCAGCGTTTTCCTGCTGTGCTTGATTTATCTGTAATGACTGTTGTGCTACCCAAAGTGGAGGACGTGAGTCTCTGAAACCCAAAATGAGCTGCCTGAGAGTGCAAGGGGGAGAGCAGAGCTTGCGCTGTGCTGGACTTGACCAGTCTTTCACACAAGTAGTGTTGGACAATGAAGGTAGAAGTTTTGGGAGATGAGCTTATATTCGCCTGTTGTTTCATGACTAAAGGTGTCTGACATCCCCAAGAATAATTCCACCAAAACCAGGAGTAGTGTTCTATCTGTTGTCAAGAAAAAGAGGAAAAACAAAGGAATGAAAACCACTTTCTAATTCTTACATAGTTAGATGCGTCCTTAAGATTGCTGTGATTTCTGTGGGACTGTGCTGCACTGGTTGAAGCTAAACACTGGATGTCTTTTCAGTTGTAGTCACTCGTTTCACCCAGGCCTTTTCTGGCCTAAAGGAAGTGATTTTCTTTTCAATTTCTACAGGAGTACAGCCCACCGTCATTTTAAAAAATGTTTATTAAAAAAAAAATGATTTGACAGTATCATCCTCAAATGCTGCAGCTGACAGTAATTTCACTGTAGCATGGGCATGTTTTCATAAGGGTTGACTTGGAAAAAATTGTGTGTTTCTAGACAGGACACAAGATGATGACAAAAATACAAATTGGGATAGTAAATAGGAAAAAGCAAACAAGGCCTTATCTTTGTTCCTGGATAGTGCTGTCTCCTTTTGAGTCCATATTAAATGAAGCTGTAGGAAGAGAAGACCAAAGTATATTCTACAACCATGCATTTTCTGGAAAGAGATTGAAAGAAATAGAGTTTCCCTGTTGTGCATCATCAGGTCAAACATACGTCCACTTCAGACTGGGCACGGTTTGCCCCACTCTGTTCCAGTCCTGAGTGTTTGTGCCGATGTGAATCTATCAAACGCTGAATGTGGTACTTGTTTAGTCTAGGGTTTAATCACTGGGGGCTGGCTCAAGGCTGAACGCTTGTCCCAGTTGAACTGAGCACTGACCCGTTGTCTGAAGTGTCTTATATAGGAATAATATAGTATAGGAATGGTTTGTATAGATCTGTGCTTGGATTATAGAAGATTCTTCAGGTGGAAGCAGTTTTATTCATATTCAATGAAGATGAAAAGGAAAGATACAGATGTATAGATAGTAACAGCAAATGGGTGTTTCTGAGAATCTATGGGAATTAAGGAACCTGTAATAGCACGTCCTGTAGGACTGAGACCATGGGTGGACATTGTACCACATCTTTACGGTGTCCTTCCAACAGAGAAAGACAGCTTGCTCTCAGGATTGTGTTTACAAGTAACTGTAAGAAAGACTGCTAAAAATTCCATTTTATTTTTCATCCTGATAGGCTGAACTGCATTTTCCATGGTATCTTGTACCTAAACGGAAATTTAACAAATGGAAATTAAAAATCAACTGCACCCTACATCCTCTAAAGAATTCTGAGTGGAACTGCTGGTTTGCCAGAGATGTTTTTTCCCTTGTGGACAAATCAGATTACTGCTTTTGTGCCTTATCTGCCAAAGAGAGATTATATTTCTTGACCTTTTAGTTACTTGCAAAGTTAAAGCAACAAATATTTGTAATTTGCTTCTTGGGCAAGAAATTTTCTGGTACTTTTCTGGTAAGTACTAGGACTTAATCATCTGAGTCATGATTTCCCAGAAAGGCTTTATCTTCTATCAAAACCTAAAAGAGAATTTAAGGGTAGGGAAAGGCAGGTAAATGAAAACCGTGCTATATATTCGACAACCATATCCCTTCTGAAGATTTTAATGTGTTTTACCTTCAGGTTATTAACATCCTGCAGCAAGTCATCTCTTTCTGCCTGGAGGTTTGTGGAAGAAATAAGCAATACATGAAACTGGATGCAATTTAATTTTACATCTGTTCATTCGGGACCTCGATGAGTGATACACGGGGAGAAGTAGAAGATGGCGAATTCCACAGAGAATGCAACTGAGAAGTGCATTATCAATCATGACATCCACCAGACGTTGTCCCCCGTGGTGTACATCTTTGTATTTATACTGGGCTTGCCCGCCAACTGCCTGTCACTCTACTACGGGTATTTACAGATCAAGGCTAAAAATGAATTGGGTATCTACCTTTGCAATTTGACAGTAGCAGACCTGCTCTACATATTTTCTTTGCCTTTTTGGCTTCAGTATGTCTTGCAGCACGACAACTGGACCTACGATGAGACGCTGTGCAAAATTTGTGGTGTCCTCTTGTACGAGAATATCTACATCAGCGTGGGCTTCCTCTGCTGCATCTCCATCGACCGCTATCTCGCAGTAGTGCACCCTTTTCGATTTCAACGCTTTCGGACAATGAAGGCCGCTGTGATCGTCAGCATCATTATCTGGACCAAAGAAATAATAACCTGCTACTTTTTCTTTATGCACGGGGAGATCAGTATGGATGCCGAGAGCCACGTGGTGTGCTTCGAGCATTACCCCATCAAGGAATGGGAGCACAACGTCAATTACTACCGCTTCTCTGCTGGCTTCCTTTTCCCCTTCTTCCTGCTGGCCTTCTCTTACTGCGGGATTTTACGAGTCGTCCGCAAGAGTCACGGCACTCAAAAGAAAAAGAAAATCCAAATTAAACGACTGGTTTCAAGCACTGTGCTCATTTTTTTAGTTTGCTTTGGACCATACCACATTCTGCTTGTGATTCGCAGCTTGTTGGAGAACAACTGCTCGTTTGCCGAGAAAATATTTAATATTTACCATTTTTCTCTCCTATTGACTACTTTTAACTGTGCTGCTGATCCAGTATTGTATTGTTTTTCCAGCGAAAGCACTTACCAGAACTTTGCCAGGATGCGAGACTCTTGTTTAACGTGTTTAGGGTGTCTGAAGACTGAGACGAAGGAATCGTATCCACTGAGCGCTCCAGAATCTCAGAACACAGCATGAGCAGCAACCAGGGTTATTGCAAATATCACATGATAGTACTGGAATGAAGGACTCCACTACTAACACGGGAAGCCTATAGCATTCATCAAAAAAGGACATTAATCTAAAATTTGCAGCTATGGCCATGTTTGTGTATCTATCTGATTTATCCATGCATTACAACTGCATTACCTCCCAAAGGCTAATTAGCAACGCAGTAGAGAGAGGTCATTTCTGGAGGTGCTTGGACCTTGGCGATAGTGAGGAAAGCACAGGCTAAGTCAGTTCAGTTGCCATCACGGGTCTGTTGCCGTTGTGGTACCACTCAAAATCTGTTGTCTTGATGACCGTGTTGGCTGGAATAAGCTAGTGCTCATGGTGTGTGGTTCTGTTGAATTTGTTTTAACTGCTCTCTGTTTGCTGTCATCATCTGTTGAAAAGGTTGGAGACAGAACAAATTAAATGTCCCCATATGTACTTTTAAAAAGAAAAATAATTGCATTTCTGTAACATCCCTGTAACTCTGAAGTAACTTCTCCTTCAGCCAGTTTCAAGGCCTGCAGAGACCATGCCAAAACCAACCTCCTAAAATAATCCAATAACATGAGATGTTCTGGGAGAACATGCACAAAGAACTCAGCATCTGCTGAGTCCTTCAATCTGTTGATTGACTGTTGAATCTCAGACTGTTGAACGTTGTTGTAAGCCTCCTGTTGACTTCCAGAGGTATGAGAACTCTTGGCTCCAGTGGGGATAGAGAATTTGGTCTGTTGCCCTGGAAAAGACCAGGAGGTTGGTAGTACCTCAAGTGAGGTGCTTTGAACCCCTGCACTTCTCTTGAGTCACTGTGTTCAAAGAAAATTTAGTTACAGCCGAATTCTACTAAACCTTGCTAAAGTTTGGGTTGTGTCCTTCAAAATGTGTGTGTCTTGGGCAGCGCAGACCATTCAGGCAATTAAATAACGGTGCATTTGTCAGGGAAACTGGACATGGATTCTGCTCAAACTGGGTTTTCTCCCCCAGATCCTAGAGCTTAGGGTTTGGTCATTGCTCGGTAAATACAGTAGCAGAAATATGATGTATGAATGATCTCTGTTTCCTGGTTTAGACAGAAACAAAATGCAGGAATGAGTGGAGATAATTGTAATTAAACATGTGCTCTATACTGTTTTTCCTACCACTGTCTCCTCTCTAGGTTTGTTTTGGGGTTTTTTTTCTTTATTATACTAATGAATCCTGTATGATTCTTCTTTGTGATCCGTTCATCATTCCTTCTTGTAACTCTTACACTATGGCTATTGCCTTGTTCTTCCATGTCCCTGGTTTCCAATCTTTCTTGAAACACCTCTCTTTCTGCAACCTGGAGCTGGTAACTTGCAGTAGTATAATCGCTTTTGTTTCTTTTTTTTTTTTTTCTTTCTTTTTTTAAATGCCAAAAGAACCTCTGGACAGATGGTGTAGTCCCAGTATCTGAAGGATGTCACTGTAAGACAGCCTTGCTTGTCACCAGTTACTACAAGGCAATATATTCTAACAGTCTTCTGGAAACCACCTTGAGAGTGCAATATTAGAAGTAATTAGGGGATGTATTAAATAAAGAATGTTTTTAGTATTTTCTTCCTTATGTTTGTTTGCTCTGTGTTCGAAGTAACTGTCTTATGGCTTTGGCCTACGGTTTCTGTTTGTGAGAGGACAGATCCTCTCCTCCCTCCTCTTTCAAGGATTCATGGCCCCACTCCCAGGAGGGGATTTGGTTTGCTTAGCTTAACATTTGGTTTGTTTAATTATTTTACATTTCTTTATACTCGGACCACTCACCAAGCTGGATTAATTACCTTATACACGCATTTTTTCTTCTGACTATTAGTGCTATTCAGCTTTATTTTCTCCTAACCTCTCCTCTGATCTCCTCTCTCTCCATCAAGGGGGCTGTAAGACCCAGGACAGCAGAAGTGCCCTTGCGTGTTGTCAAAAACCGAGCCAAGGGCTTGGAGCCCCGTGCCCCGGCGGGCTGCGAGGCACACACGTGGTTTCTTCTAGGACAAAATTATTTCTTCTCCTGTTTATGCTTTACTTCTTTAGGGTAACCCACGTTGTTTAAATTAGAGGGCTGGAATGCAGAGCACGCCATGTTACACGGAATTGTCATCTGAGGGATTAAGGCTTTGATGTGGTCAGTGTGGGTCAGCTGCTGCAGTTCAAAATCAGATGGAAACTTGTGTAACAGGGCCCAGATTCTGCTACAGTTCTCAACATTTAACCTGCTAACCCGTAACAGAAGGGGAAGGATTTTTTCTTCTTTTTTTGTTTTCCCCCTTTTTTTTTTTCTGTAGTTAGTGTTTTATCAATACTTTCTATATTGCAACTCTTAGGCTTAGGCTGCAGAAGTGTAACCAGTATGGGAGGAAGGTAACTGTCACTCAAAACTTGTATTTTGGGGCAAAAAAGAGCAAAAGCTTACAGAACTTGTAACAAAAATTAGTGTTTGGAAATACTAACATACATCGATCGCAGCCATTAGCGTAGTATGGCAGTGAGCTACTGAGCACATAGCACACAGAGAAGGAAATGAGCTGCCTCTTTTCCCAAACAGACATTTTTAAATGATGCTAATTTCATTTAGTGGGTTCTGTGCAGCAGGGAACACGTGCCATCCTGCAGGGTGCTGGCTTTGGTAAAAACTCCAGTATTCACATGAAATATTTTACTTAATATTTATAGTTTGGAGAGTTTGGAGACTTGTAAAGGAGCTGTTTTCTAATTGTGAAATTCAAAGATAGTTTCACTGCAACATCCTTCAAGAAGGCTTTAAATAAAATTCATCTAAAAAATTAAGTGATCCCTAAAATAAATGCTGATAGATATTCAGACTCGCCAAAGCTCCCAAGAAGTATGGCATTAAGATTTCTTTCTCTCCCATGTGTTCAACTGTTTTAAGTTTTTAAAGGCTGTGTGTCCTCAAGGACTTCAGAAGATCCATGTTCAGAGTACGGTGGTGTTCGTGCTGCAAACTGATTTTTCTCATTCTCAGAAAGTTGTGTTTGTCTTACATTAGAGAAGGAAAATATAACTCACCTGCCAGAATTAAAGTAGATCATTGTACTTTATACTGAATGCAAATGTTCTTTCATTTCTAATCATGCTTTAATTTCTAAGCATTACTTTTAAATCACTGTTTAATTTATTCTTAACAACAGGACACCCTGAAATGTGTACAGCTTTTCTGTATTACCCAGAAAGGGACAAAATATACAAATGGCAAACTACTAATAGGAAGGAGGCAAAGGGTACAGCCTGTCCTTGACGCAGAAGCTCTGCAGAAGCTTCCCCTATTTTCATGAGCTGAGTTAAAGCCCTCCCCTTACCCCTCACCCTTCCAGGCACTATGCACCATGGCCTGCAGGAGGTGTGCGGGGAGGGGGGCTGTATTTAACAACTTTCACTGCTGTGGTGCTTCCTGGAGGCTTTCTTTTTTTGTGTTTCCAACCTCCCGTCTCCACTGCAGCTGTTTTCCCCACCACAAAGTATTTTTAAATCCAAGCTGCTGCAAGAGTGACTTCCCCTTGCAGTTAGGAGGTTAGTAAAACAGGAACAGCAGCGCAACTGCATTTCATTTTAATGACAAGGTTTCTTTTATAAAAGACAGATCACCTCTTGGCATATAGTATCATTTAATGCCCAGTATCCATTATAAAATTACAGAACAGAAAGGCAGACCGAATCATCCTCATAAGATCCCCTTCTTGCTTCTCAGAGATGTTGTGAAGGTAACCAGGAAAGGTTGTGTGCAGCCAAGAGAAGTCACCTTTTTCTGACTGTCTGTGCCTTGTGAGAGGCTGGGGAGCACGGAAAGGGCACGGGAGCAGTTCTGGATACAGGAATCATTAGGACAGTCACTGCTGCACTTCTTTCAGCAGCTTTTCAATCATAAGCGAATGGGTGTCGTAGAAGGGCAGCCCGTCCACCTCCATTTCCAGGCTGGCAGTTTTCCCACTGCGGACCCCGAGCTGCACGAGTGCTTTCAGAAGCTTCTCTTCCTTAAAAAAAACCAAATAGACTATAATTAAAATCCTGAATTAGACAAGAGCAGTCATTCCAGATGTTTATTTCAAACGTAGGGGAGGCTCTGACCCCATCCTCCATATTGATTTTGTGTAGTAATTTGCTAACGCTATTTTTAAATTGTCCCAAAGAATCTATGTAGGATCTGGACTGACAAAAGGCTGAGATTCTTGACTACTATTTAATTACTGAGTGATATTATTGTCCCCCACACTCCCTCAAGCAAGACTTTGGTAACGATTCAGAAGCAGAGATTCCTTCTGCCAGGTTTCAGGCTCCCATATTGCACAAACAGGCTCAGAGGAACCTCCACCCAAAATTATCTCAGAAAACTACCTGCTAGTTCGGCAGCGTAGCAGCTGGCTGCAGAGGCATTTTTAAAGAGAAGAATAGCAGGGAAACATGATCTGTTGCTTTCTATCATCTTTTCTTACCGATTTCATAAGAATCCTGGTTGCTTAGAAAAGGGGTGGGGGAAAAAGAAACCCCTGAAGCTGTGCTTCCTTGGGGTTCCCCGAAATAGTGTCTACTTCCCGCTGTTTAGAGCTGCAATTCTTCCTGCTGGCCTTCTCTTACTGCGGGATTTTACGAGTCGTCCGCAAGAGTCACGGCACTCAAAAGAAAAAGAAAATCCAAATTAAACGACTGGTTTCAAGCACTGTGCTCATTTTTTTAGTTTGCTTTGGACCATACCACATTCTGCTTGTGGTTCGCAGCTTGTTGGAGAACAACTGCTCGTTTGCCGAGAAAATATTTAATATTTACCATTTTTCTCTCCTATTGACTACTTTTAACTGTGCTGCTGATCCAGTATTGTATTGTTTTTCCAGTGAAAGCACTTACCAGAACTTTGCCAGGATGCGAGACTCTTGTTTAACGTGTTTAGGGTGTCTGAAGACTGAGACGAAGGAATCGTATCCACTGAGCGCTCCAGAATCTCAGAACACAGCATGAGCAGCAACCAGGGTTATTGCAAATATCACATGATAGTACTGGAATGAAGGACTCCACTACTAACACGGGAAGCCTATAGCATTCATCAAAAAAGGACATTAATCTAAAATTTGCAGCTATGGCCATGTTTGTGTATCTATCTGATTTATCCATGCATTACAACTGCATTACCTCCCAAAGGCTAATTAGCAACGCAGTAGAGAGAGGTCATTTCTGGAGGTGCTTGGACCTTGGCGATAGTGAGGAAAGCACAGGCTAAGTCAGTTCAGTTGCCATCACGGGTCTGTTGCCGTTGTGGTACCACTCAAAATCTGTTGTCTTGATGACCGTGTTGGCTGGAATAAGCTAGTGCTCATGGTGTGTGGTTCTGTTGAATTTGTTTTAACTGCTCTCTGTTTGCTGTCATCATCTGTTGAAAAGGTTGGAGACAGAACAAATTAAATGTCCCCATATGTACTTTTAAAAAGAAAAATAATTGCATTTCTGTAACATCCCTGTAACTCTGAAGTAACTTCTCCTTCAGCCAGTTTCAAGGCCTGCAGAGACCATGCCAAAACCAACCTCCTAAAATAATCCAATAACATGAGATGTTCTGGGAGAACATGCACAAAGAACTCAGCATCTGCTGAGTCCTTCAATCTGTTGATTGACTGTTGAATCTCAGACTGTTGAACGTTGTTGTAAGCCTCCTGTTGACTTCCAGAGGTATGAGAACTCTTGGCTCCAGTGGGGATAGAGAATTTGGTCTGTTGCCCTGGAAAAGACCAGGAGGTTGGTAGTACCTCAAGTGAGGTGCTTTGAACCCCTGCACTTCTCTTGAGTCACTGTGTTCAAAGAAAATTTAGTTACAGCCGAATTCTACTAAACCTTGCTAAAGTTTGGGTTGTGTCCTTCAAAATGTGTGTGTCTTGGGCAGCGCAGACCATTCAGGCAATTAAATAACGGTGCATTTGTCAGGGAAACTGGACATGGATTCTGCTCAAACTGGGTTTTCTCCCCCAGATCCTAGAGCTTAGGGTTTGGTCATTGCTCGGTAAATACAGTAGCAGAAATATGATGTATGAATGATCTCTGTTTCCTGGTTTAGACAGAAACAAAATGCAGGAATGAGTGGAGATAATTGTAATTAAACATGTGCTCTATACTGTTTTTCCTACCACTGTCTCCTCTCTAGGTTTGTTTTGGGGTTTTTTTTCTTTATTATACTAATGAATCCTGTATGATTCTTCTTTGTGATCCGTTCATCATTCCTTCTTGTAACTCTTACACTATGGCTATTGCCTTGTTCTTCCATGTCCCTGGTTTCCAATCTTTCTTGAAACACCTCTCTTTCTGCAACCTGGAGCTGGTAACTTGCAGTAGTATAATCGCTTTTGTTTCTTTTTTTTTTTTTTCCTTCTTTTTTTAAATGCCAAAAGAACCTCTGGACAGATGGTGTAGTCCCAGTATCTGAAGGATGTCACTGTAAGACAGCCTTGCTTGTCACCAGTTACTACAAGGCAATATATTCTAACAGTCTTCTGGAAACCACCTTGAGAGTGCAATATTAGAAGTAATTAGGGGATGTATTAAATAAAGAATGTTTTTATTATTTTCTTCCTTATGTTTGTTCGCTCTGTGTTCGAAGTAACTGTCTTATGGCTTTGGCCTACGGTTTCTGTTTGTGAGAGGACAGATCCTCTCCTCCCTCCTCTTTCAAGGATTCATGGCCCCACTCCCAGGAGGGGATTTGGTTTGCTTAGCTTAACATTTGGTTTGTTTAATTATTTTACATTTCTTTATACTCGGACCACTCACCAAGCTGGATTAATTACCTTATACACGCATTTTTTCTTCTGACTATTAGTGCTATTCAGCTTTATTTTCTCCTAACCTCTCCTCTGATCTCCTCTCTCTCCATCAAGGGGGCTGTAAGACCCAGGACAGCAGAAGTGCCCTTGCGTGTTGTCAAAAACCGAGCCAAGGGCTTGGAGCCCCGTGCCCCGGCGGGCTGCGAGGCACACACGTGGTTTCTTCTAGGACGAAATTATTTCTTCTCCTGTTTATGCTTTACTTCTTTAGGGTAACCCACGTTGTTTAAATTAGAGGGCTGGAATGCAGAGCACGCCATGTTACACGGAATTGTCATCTGAGGGACTGAGGCTTTGATGTGGTCAGTGTTGCTCAGCTGCTGCAGTTCAAAATCAGATGGAAATTTGTATAACAGGGCCCAGATTCTGCTACGGTTCTCAACATTTAACCTGCTAACCCGTAACAGAAGGGGAAGGATTTTTTCTTCTTTTTTTGTTTTCCCCCTTTTTTTTTTTCTGTAGTTAGTGTTTTATCAATACTTTCTATATTGCAACTCTTAGGCTTAGGCTGCAGAAGTGTAACCAGTATGGGAGGAAGGTAACTGTCACTCAAAACTTGTATTTTGGGGCAAAAAAGAGCAAAAGCTTACAGAACTTGTAACAAAAATTAGTGTTTGGAAATACTAACATACATCGATCGCAGCCATTAGCGTAGTATGGCAGTGAGCTACTGAGCACATAGCACACAGAGAAGGAAATGAGCTGCCTCTTTTCCCAAACAGACATTTTTAAATGATGCTAATTTCATTTAGTGGGTTCTGTGCAGCAGGGAACACGTGCCATCCTGCAGGGTGCTGGCTTTGGTAAAAACTCCAGTATTCACATGAAATATTTTACTTAATATTTATAGTTTGGAGAGTTTGGAGACTTGTAAAGGAGCTGTTTTCTAATTGTGAAATTCAAAGATAGTTTCACTGCAACATCCTTCAAGAAGGCTTTAAATAAAATTCATCTAAAAAATTAAGTGATCCCTAAAATAAATGCTGATAGATATTCAGACTCGCCAAAGCTCCCAAGAAGTATGGCATTAAGATTTCTTTCTCTCCCATGTGTTCAACTGTTTTAAGTTTTTAAAGGCTGTGTGTCCTCAAGGACTTCAGAAGATCCATGTTCAGAGTACGGTGGTGTTCGTGCTGCAAACTGATTTTTCTCATTCTCAGAAAGTTGTGTTTGTCTTACATTAGAGAAGGAAAATATAACTCACCTGCCAGAATTAAAGTAGATCATTGTACTTTATACTGAATGCAAATGTTCTTTCATTTCTAATCATGCTTTAATTTCTAAGCATTACTTTTAAATCACTGTTTAATTTATTCTTAACAACAGGACACCCTGAAATGTGTACAGCTTTTCTGTATTACCCAGAAAGGGACAAAATATACAAATGGCAAACTACTAATAGGAAGGAGGCAAAGGGTACAGCCTGTCCTTGACGCAGAAGCTCTGCAGAAGCTTCCCCTATTTTCATGAGCTGAGTTAAAGCCCTCCCCTTACCCCTCACCCTTCCAGGCACTATGCACCATGGCCTGCAGGAGGTGTGCGGGGAGGGGGGCTGTATTTAACAACTTTCACTGCTGTGGTGCTTCCTGGAGGCTTTCTTTTTTTGTGTTTCCAACCTCCCGTCTCCACTGCAGCTGTTTTCCCCACCACAAAGTATTTTTAAATCCAAGCTGCTGCAAGAGTGACTTCCCCTTGCAGTTAGGAGGGTAGTAAAACAGGAACAGCAGCGCAACTGCATTTCATTTTAATGACAAGGTTTCTTTTATAAAAGACAGATCACCTCTTGGCATATAGTATCATTTAATGCCCGGTATCCATTATAAAATTACAGAACAGAAAGGCAGACCGAATCATCCTCATAAGATCCCCTTCTTGCTTCTCAGAGATGTTGTGAAGGTAACCAGGAAAGGTTGTGTGCAGCCAAGAGAAGTCACCTTTTTCTGACTGTCTGTGCCTTGTGAGAGGCTGGGGAGCACGGAAAGGGCACGGGAGCAGTTCTGGATACAGGAATCATTAGGACAGTCCCTGCTGCACTTCTTTCAGCAGCTTTTCAATCATAAGCGAATGGGTGTCGTAGAAGGGCAGCCCGTCCACCTCCATTTCCAGGCTGGCAGTTTTCCCACTGCGGACCCCGAGCTGCACGAGTGCTTTCAGAAGCTTCTCTTCCTTAAAAAAAACCAAATAGACTATAATTAAAATCCTGAATTAGACAAGAGCAGTCATTCCAGATGTTTATTTCAAACGTAGGGGAGGCTCTGACCCCATCCTCCATATTGATTTTGTGTAGTAATTTGCTAACGCTATTTTTAAATTGTCCCAAAGAATCTATGTAGGATCTGGACTGACAAAAGGCTGAGATTCTTGACTACTATTTAATTACTGAGTGATATTATTGTCCCCCACACTCCCTCAAGCAAGACTTTGGTAACGATTCAGAAGCAGAGATTCCTTCTGCCAGGTTTCAGGCTCCCATATTGCACAAACAGGCTCAGAGGAACCTCCACCCAAAATTATCTCAGAAAACTACCTGCTAGTTCGGCAGCGTAGCAGCTGGCTGCAGAGGCATTTTTAAAGAGAAGAATAGCAGGGAAACATGATCTGTTGCTTTCTATCATCTTTTCTTACCGATTTCATAAGAATCCTGGTTGCTTAGAAAAGGGGTGGGGGAAAAAGAAACCCCTGAAGCTGTGCTTCCTTGGGGTTCCCCGAAATAGTGTCTACTTCCCGCTGTTTAGAGCTGCAATTTTTATGTTTACAACAGTTACTTTCCTGCTTAACAGTAACAACAAAGCCTGTTCCAAGTTGAGCTGCTGAAGCACACAGAGGGAACAAAACCCTGGGTGGTGAGTCAGGGGCCAGGCAGCGCTGTGAGGTGAAAAGATGGGCCAAAATCAACTCTGACAAACCCCTGATGCCAGGAGCGGTGAAATGAGAAGGGCTGGTTTCAAAGGGATGTAGGTCCGGCACAAACGGCTTCGCTTTTCATTTCACGTCAAATGTACACAGTAAAAACTCCTTCTACTGTCTTACTATTACTACAAAAAGACTTTATTTCTCTAATTCTGTTAATAAAAAGCTAAGAAAAATACAAAGCCTAGTCACGTCTTAGCTTCCCCCTGCCCCAACCCTGTAGTGATTTATATACGACTTTGAAACAGTCATATACCTCTCTTTTTGTTTCCCTTTCTTGGCTAGAAATGCCTTTTCTGGTCTTTGATCAACTGTTCTGTTTCCATTGGTGTGAGAGCTTGCTTTGATGGGAACTGCTACTGAAACAGCCCCACCAGTGTCCTCGACACACAGGTCTAGAGGCTAAAACACTTAGTGCTTGATATTCCTACCCAATAACTGCCAGCACAGACATCTATCTCCTGCAGACAAATTAATGATGAAAAATGCATAAAGGTAAAATGCCTAATATTCTTTTATTAAATACTAGGGATTTTTTTTCTAGGAAGACTGACAAACCATCAAGAACACAACAGCTTTAGATCTGAATTTAGACAGAATATGGTTGTATTTTACGTAATACAGTATATGGCTGAAATATAAACATTTCTGAAAGAATTAATGCATACCTTGCATGGTCAATTAGCAGAAAATTTAGTGTAATTTGGTGACCTGCTTACTTGTTAGAGCTCTCGGATCGGCTCACATGGGGAAAAAAAGCTTCCTCGCTTCATAGTATATAACTATTAGTATATATAGTATAGAACTATGCCTGATAAACCATATTCTGTGATCAAATGCTATTGCTTCCATTTGTAAAGAACATTCAGAATGTACACTGTGCTTCCTTACCTGAAAAGTGCTGCAATTTGCTCACAGTTCTCTCTTTAGTAAATAAGTATGTTGGGATTGGGGTAACCAAAAAAATAATCAAATTAAAATAACTTGAGAATTTGCACTTCATTCAGGGAAAAAACCTCCCTCACGAATGACAAAGCTAATAACACTGAAACAAATGTCATATATTTATATTTTATATATTTTTATATTGCTCATTTAGAAAGTATTTCATATTCTTATAGGTCCTAATTTACAAATAGTTAATTTCTTACCATTAGTAAAGAGTTCAGTAAAAGAACAACTGCCTGACACGTAAAGCTGGCTGTGAGCTGCACGGAAATGCAGAGTTGCCTGGAGGCTGCTCAGCATCAGCTCTGTTGGGATAGGTGTGGATTCATGTATTTCCCTACAGTCCCTGCAGTACAGAAGTACCACGACCATCGGACAAGTCAAACCAATATTGTGTCAACCAACACCATTACGATTCCACTGCACAACTGAAAGGTAAGTAAAGATGGTTTCGATCGAATGGTTTCTTGCTCATCCTGTTTTCAGCGAGGAACAAATGCTTTGCAGTATTCTTATTAAAATATACATAAAGACTCATTCATGCACTTAGAACAATCTCAGGGGGGTTCTGTTCCTTGGGAGCAGAGAGCCCCACAGGTCGGGGTCTGTCGCAGGACACCCGGCTGCAGAGAAATAACCTGTTTCAGGGGAAGCCTTCCTTCAGTAAGTGTGAGCTATATGAGCTATGCCATTTTTGGAAGAAATATAAAGACATGTTTTAAGAAAGGTGTCTGGTGCTTTGGCACCCCTTCCAATGTCCTCTTTCCAGTTAGGAACAGGCAAACACAAACACTGAGGTGTGCGTGTGCGATGGTGCTCTTTATCTTACGAGGGTAATTATTATAGCATTAAAAGAAACTGAATTGGGCAGAAAGTAGCCATATAAACATAAATGGTGTGATTGACTTTATACTAATGGAGGACGTGAACACTAATGGGTTCAATCTTGTGCACTGTTTACTGTTGCATGATTTATAATTAAAGATATCATATTCTCATCAGACACTTTGTAATTTTCTCTCCTCCACAAAACCGTTTTCGTTAATTTTATCTCGATAGATTTTTGTTATTGCACTTTCAATAGCCCATTATTGGATCATTATCAATATTCCCAGCTGTATAGCCTAGTAAAACAAAACCAAGGATTTCCTGTACACACTATCACATTTAATTACAACATCTCGTTACCAGGAATTTGATAATACTAGTTTTTAGGATATGTTAATTTAAAGGGCAAAAGAAAAGTAGGTGTAACTGGAAAATATTTGACCATTTCACCATTGAAAAATGAAAAATAATAAATCTATTTTTGGAAAAGATTGCACTGAAAGGTGCCATATGCTTTGTTAAGTCCAAGGAGAAGTGGCTGTGTGGCTACGCTAACCATTGGGATCGCTTTCACTTTTATAACCTTTAGATGAAAAATCTAAATAGCAAGAATTAAAAAAAAACCACCACCACCCATAAGACCTACTCTAAATACTGAAGAGGTGCTTTGTTGGAATTTCACACAGAATGTACTGTCATTGGGAGAAATACCCCACCGCTGTGCGCAGTGTCTGTGGGAGATGGAGAACATCTTGCGTAGCATTCTTGGAGGTCACAACCTTACTGGTTTTGTCCAAGTCTCTACAGAGGTATTCTGCCCATAAACCCAACTTGAAGCTCCTAAGTTATTACAAATATGGTGGAACAAACATTACTTGATCATTGAGTGTGTGTGTGTATATATATATATATATATATTTTAAACATGGCCAAGTTAAAAATAAGAGCCACGTGCTTAGCTGTATGAGCACAGATCAGAGTCATTTCTCACTCCTCTCAGTTATTTTACTGTTTCTCAGTCTGAAACCTTTGCATTCCCAGAATATCAGAGCTGCACCAGTCAAACCACATTTAAAAATTACACATCTGCAAGTCTTTCTCCACCTTTAATTTAGAAACATTCAGAACTGATTCTAGAAAGGTTCTAACGTAACTAGAAAAGGTGCAGAGATCCTAAGGAAGGTGCAAAGATCAGAAGTGTGGAGCGGCTTCTGTATTAAGATTGTGACTCCCGATTTTTGGAAGAGAGACATCTAGAGGAGGATACAACAGAGATTTATAAAATCATGAACGATGCCAAGGAAGCGAACAGGGAATTTTAGCACTGTGTCACAATACGAGGATTTCTTGCACTGCCCATAAAATTGTGGTGCTGTCTTGTGCTTGAAGTTGCAGCACACAAATATATTCAGCATTGAGGGTTTTTATGTTCACCCTGTTTCGAATCCCTTGCAGAATAGTCTAAGGACAGTCTGGCTCCTCATTCAACATGGGATTCCCAAAAGACCATGTGAAAGGAAGCCGTTGAACCGGACCGGGCAGCATTTAGTGGCTGGGAGCCAACTCCATCTACACGTCAGGAGCAAGTCAGAGGTGCCTGGTCCTACAGAAATTACCTTGGTGACTGATGGAAGTGCTGACAGCCAGCACCTCTGCTTGGATAACGGTGGAAACCCAACAGCTTTCCTCAGGTAGCGCTCGTGGATCTCACAAGTGCTGAGGATATAGAGGGCGCAAGCGATGGCGTAGCCTCCCCAGTTAGAGACCCCTGAAAAACAATGTCACCGTGAAACCAAACTGGGGAAAAAAATGAACTTTGGTTATTGCAAAAATACCAAACCCGGGTAAGTCATGGGGCACAAACAACTGAGTCTCGTGTAGCGATGGTGAAACAGAACGTGGATATGAATTAAATATTGACATGAATTCAGAACAGTTGTTTCAGAACTAGACAATCCTTAACATATTACGGTGTTTTCACTATTATTTCAGATTGAATTTCTGCAAGTTCCATCGAGCTTAGCTTGTGGTTTGTCTTTCCAACAAAGCAAAAACTCACACAGGGATGGTCTATGACACAATTCCGCTTGGCTTAATGAGGAGTCCATGACCTGTGAGGAGCTGTGCTACAGCCCCACGTCTTTTGCTTTGAACTGCACAGAGGTAGGACAGGGAACTGCTGGAGAGGGCACAGCAGAGGGCTACAAAGATGATGAGAGGCCTGGAGCATCTCTCTTACGAGGAGAGGCTGAGGGACTTGGGTCTTTTTAGTGTGGCTGAGGGATCTGATCAATGCTTATAAATACTTAAAAGGTGGGTGTGAAGAGGATGGGACCAGTCTCTTTTCAGTGGTGCCCAGGAATAGGACAAGAGGAAATGGACACAAACTTGAACATAGGAAGTTCCATCTAAACATGAGGAGGAACTTCTTCACTTTGAGGGTGGCAGAGCCCTGGAACAGGCTGCCCAGGGAGGTGGTGGAGTCTCTGTCTCTGGAGACATTCAAACCCCACCTGGACACTTTCCTGTGCAACCTGCTCTGGGTGGACCGGCTTTGGCAGGGGGTTGGACTAGATGATCCCCAGAGGTCCCTTCCAACCCCGTATCATTCATTCTGTGATTTTGATAAAGTATCCTAAACCAGGCACATTTTCATTGGTGCCAGATTTTATAATGGAATGCTGTACCAGTGCAGAGAACCCCTTTTTGGTCACAGATAATGACTGACTAAAGAGTTCAGCTATTTTATAAGATATGAAACCATGGTGAAACTAATTCTCTGTGTCTTGATGATGTGTCCTTGGTGCAAGTAACATATACAAAAAGACATTCTAACGTAGTTAATATCCATAAATTTTCAAACCAGTCTGCACAGTCTTGTTCGTCAGCTTCTTTGTCAGGGCTGTACTGGAGATCATTAGATTGAAACTTGCTGTGTCTGTGATTTTGATAAAGTATCCTAAACCAGGCACATTTTCATTGGTGCCAGATTTTATAATGGAATGCTGTACCAGTGCAGAGAACCCCTTTTTGGTCACAGATAATGACTGACTAAAGAGTTCAGCTATTTTATAAGATATGAAACCATGGTGAAACTAATTCTCTGTGTCTTGATGATGTGTCCTTGGTGCAAGTAACATATACAAAAAGACATTCTAACGTAGTTAATATCCATAAATTTTCAAACCAGTCTGCACAGTCTTGTCAGCTTCTTTGTCAAGGCTGAACTGGAGATCATTAGATTGAAACTTGCTGTGAGAAGTTCTCTCTGCTGCCTGATACCTTTTCCAGAGATGCAGAATAGCAAAATTTTCAACAATTGTGGAAGTTGTTTTAGTTCATGTAGTTTTCCACACTTAAACATGTCCAAACCTCTGCCTCCCTTCCCTTTGCAGGATCTGGGTTTGAGGTCTGCGCTTTCAAAGTAAGAATCATCAGAATTGCCAAAACAGCCACCGTAGATACATATAGCCATAAAAAGCAGATGTAATTATCATCACACTCTCATTTCTTCTAAAAAACTGCTGAAAATTCATATGTGCATAGACATTTCAATTCCTACACAGATCACTCCTGCAGTCCTCCTTGTTATTTTATTTAAAGTGTGATTTTTCAAGAATATGTAGGATTTGCCCAACTATTCCCAATTAAATGTACTTTCTCAGACACAAAACATCCTCTGTTTTCAGTCGTTCCTGCTGGAGCCATAGTTGCTTAACTATTCAGAAAATGGACACAATACGGAGACATATTTGGTGATGACGTGGTCATACAAAGAAAGGGCCAATACAAATTAGTTGGAAAGACAGAAGTTTTCTTGTCAAAGTATTCTCTTTGTCAAAGTATTCTTCTTGTCATGTATTCTCAAATATCAACAATTCTCACCCCCCCCAAGAAAAAATAGAAGTCCCTTACCAGCTACAATAGTGAAATCAGCTTCAACATCACAAGCTATAACATCTCCATTTTTTATGTGCTTCTTCACAGCATCTTTTACTTTGCCCATTCCTAATTCATTTCCTCCATCTCCAACACCTTGATTAAAAGAGAAAAAAGACCAAAAGAGCATAAACCCAGCACATAAATAACACGCCATTCAGAAAGCATCCCGTGTCTTCCCCAGAGTTTCTGTGATGGGACACGGCGCCGCACGAGACGATTTATCCTTTTTCATCAAAAGTGTGTAAAACCAGAATAGTGTGGATGAACTAGCTGACAGCATCACCTATCACATGCTAACATGGACGTGGAGACATGCAATACGTGCTGTATGCAAAAGAAATGCAAGTTACCCAGTGCTCATGAACTGCAGACAGAATTGAGACAGTAAACTTTGCTTATGCAAGGCCTTAACTGAGTGTTTTATATAATGCATTACCATAAGGACCTTAGCATGTATTGAGAAAGAAGATAGAAAATGAATCCCAAATAAACCCAGAGCCTACGACTCCTCAGGAAAGCAAGCATAGAAAACTTTGGCTTTTCACAAACTTTAAGTAAAAAAAGAGATTAAATATAGTAATTATTGCAGAAATAAGCAAAAATGTACATAAGGACTTTGGCAGAAGTAGGACGTACTGCACTGGAATCTCTTTCACACAGTCCACTCTTAATTATTGCAGAAATAAGCAAAAATGTACATAAGGACTTTGGCAGAAGTAGGACGTACTGCACTGGAATCTCTTTCACACAGTCCACTCTCAATGTCCCACAAAGAGCCCAACCTTGTGTATTATTACTGTTTCATTTTTTCTAGCAATTTTTGAAAAAAAGTCAGTGTCCCAACCTTGTGTACTATTACTGTTTTCATTTTTTCTAGCAATTTTTGAAAAAAATAGCCAGTCTTATTTTTATTTTTTTTTTAAAGTGTTCTCATATTCAGGGAGTGAGGCCCTAATTTTTGTTGGCCAAATAGAAACACTATATTTCTCAGTGATTTCAGTAAAATCAATGGGACCTGTGTAATTTCAGGAAAATTCCGGGCAACCCTATGTTTGGGACATAAAAATGTTAGATGGCACTCAGAAATGTGGAGATGAGGTAACACAGAAACTAGCAGCTTACATGAAAGCTGGATAGTACCTCTAGTCTCTTATTAATGTATAAAAAACAATCACCAAAAATTCCATCTATTTAAATAGAAATTAAAATTTCTCTTTCACCTGTTAGTCTAAATGGCATCTTCTCAAGTTTGAAGATTTTATAGAAAAATCCTGGTTAATATCTGTGAAAAAGAACAGTGAAGAGCTCCAAGTCCTCACTGCAGTGTATCATATTTGAATTTGAAATGTGACTGTGCTCTAATGCATAGCATGTGTTACAGGAGAGAAGTTACAGTATTTATAATTTACACTTCAAACCCTGAAAATTTATAAATTTAACACTTTGAGCAACTGCATAAATTAGTCTGCAGCAAATTTCTTCTTTAAGTGAAAGTCATTTCTCAGCAGCAATTTTTTATTCTAAAGTCTAAATAGTCAAGGGAAGTGTAACTGAGTGACACATAACTTACATAAAACGATTTGCCATGAAAAAGCTAAACTTTTTTCTTATCTGCTTTAATAATCTGTTTAAAGATATTCTGGTGTTGGCATTAATTTTACAGCCCGGAGAGAGACATGGGCCCTTTACACATTCCCTTCATCTCCCCCCAAGGCAGACAGCTCAGGCACAGGTGCCTGGAAGAAGACAAGAGGAACCTCTTCTCCTAAAGGCTGGAATGCTTTCCAGGCAGAGCAAAAAGAGTTCTGTCGGATCTTCCACCCAAGCTTTCACTGACTACATCGGTTTCTGAAACTACATTCATGAAAAATGCAGGAAACGTTAGTCTTCTGCACTAAAAATCATTTGTATGAAAAGGAAACGAGTGCGACCACATTTTTTCATGCAGTACTCCAGAAAGCTTTTCATTAGCTCCCATAGAAATAGCACAGAGCTATGTCAATCCCGTGACAGCTGAAAAAATAGCGTGTGGTTTCGGTAACATCTCTTAATCTTTTATTTCAATCTCTTGTGGAAAATGAGTCCTTCCAACCTCAGTCTTTCATGTCTTCTAATTTTGTCCATTCCTGAAGGTTGCTGCTTACTCTTCTTATGCTACCGGTACCCATACAACTGTAGGCATCGTTCATGATTGCCCTGTGGTTGGACTTCCAGATTAGATTTTTTAAACAAAGATCTTATTTTAAATGCAAAACTTAACAGCAATTAATGAGCGTGTAACAAATGATCTAGTATTTCCCCTCTCCACCTACAAACACAGTACTTCTTGCCACTGAGCACACAATATAAAGACTTCTGTGAGGCTGAAAACTTGATCTTTCAATAACCTTTTCTAGTCTATAAAGTTCTCTGAGTACTCTGCCCTAATGGGTGCTGTACAATATTTGCATTTTACTTTGGAACTGAAAAATTTATCATGATAAGTAGCAATACATGATCATTAGTAATAATATATATAGGCTGCCCAGAGAGATGGTGGAGTCTCCTTCTCTGGAGACATTCAAACCCTCCTGGACACGTTCCTGTGCAACCTGCTCTGGGTGGACCTGCTTTGGCAGGGGGTTGGACCAGATGATCTCCAGAGGTCCCTTCCAACCCCATATCACTCTGTGATTCTGTGATAAGAGGCAAAGGCCAAAGCCCAGCTTCGTTAAGCAAGGCTTTGCAGAAATACACTGAAAAAGCCAACAACCCAAGAAATTGCAATAAGAGACAAGAGGCAAAGGCCAAAGCCCAGCTTCATTAAGCTAGGCTTTGCAGAAATACATTGAAAAAGCCAACAACCCAAGAAATTGCAATCAAATTAAAAAAAGACAAAAAAAGTTAGTGTGATAAGCAAAATAAGAAATGATAAGCAGGTAACAGACTATGCAAGAAAAAAATACATTGTTTTTCTATAGATGCTCAATTAGTTCTCCAACATAGAATATCCAGGTACTAGAATTCCACGGAAATTCCAACAGAGCGGGTACCTTCATTGTTTTTTGAAGCCTAATGACTTGTTAAATCATTTTCTATGCAGAGAAAATTCACGGCAATGGGACACAGTGAATCTGGGTAACTGCTGCTTTCCTTCTTATTGACAAGCTCCTGGTATTTTTAATGAATGACATTTCACAGTATATTTGAATATTCACAGAATGTTTAAAACAAACTAAATTTCTGCTGAACAGATCCAAATTCCCACTGTGCAGAACACTCCAAAGTCCACCAAATCAGTAACTCTGAGCTGCTCTGGGAGATATTTTAGGAGATTGGGGTATTTTTATTAAAGGAATCAGGATGTGATGTTACACAAGTAGCTGGAGAGACCAAGTCCTTGTATTGGTAGTCTAAAATCAGGGACAAAATAATTAAAATTAACTGCAGCAGATAAAGCTCTGAGGCATTTTGCTAAACATCTTTATGAAACTGAGCTTATTCTATCCTTATTCAGTCAATCTTTGGCTTCTCTGCTGAGATTGCCAACAGAGGGCCATCTAGAGTGCTGCTTTCTGAATGCTGGAAGTTACTCCTTGGGAATAGGGCAAAAATGTGAATTAAGTCAAAGTAAAATGTAGTACAAGTTTTAAGATAATACAAAAAATACCACTGAACTCTTCCGCTATAGAGCTTTTAAATTATTCCAATAGAGTGCAATCAGACTGCACATTATCTCTGCAGGAGCGCTCTGAATTCTGTGGAAACATTTGAAAAACATCAGTACGGAGAAGTGAAAAGTTCCGGTGCTTTTGGTAACACTTAGGAGTGAATCCACAGCACCACAAGAATCAAAAACCAGCCAGATCAGCAGACGTGGTGTGATGTGACTTAAATCAGCCCAGCATGGACACTTATTTCTAGTTTTGTGACACTTCTGTTTCTGATGTTTATGTAATTATATATTTCTTAACTCCGTTTTGAGCTACACAGCGTAGTACGAAGCATTTGATCCTGTTGTACAAGATTTTATATATATATGGGAATCCTTGATTTATGCCATATTCTTTCAAAACCAGACACAAAGCAGTTTTCAGGACAAAAAGGATGATCAACAACAGAGAGGAGCACCGTGCTGACATCAGCACTCTTATTAGATGCATTAGTCAATGCTAATGTAGTTCTGGCAGGAAGGACAATGTTCTCCTTTACAGATTATTATTGTATATATATATTTGTTTAGAGAAGGCACTATTATAATAGATGCAAATACGCAATCCCTGCTCAAGAGAACGTACTGCTATAGGGCAGTATAAACTAAGATTCTATCCAGATTGCTGGTTTAAGACAGGTGTAACAATCATAAAAATAAGTATAATATTTTAATGTGTAATGTTTCCATTCAGTAGTCATTTGCTTTCTACACTGCCCTTCACACATAAAACTACATTTAGAGAAGCATCTGTATACACACTGATGTATACATAATGCACACATCTGGGCCTGCTTTTTCGTCCTTAAATAACTCTGAAATCAACTCCTTTTTTTTTTTTTGGTTGTGAGAACCCTTCAATAGAAACTTCTAATTCTTCTACAGCAACTTCTGTCTCTAAATTCAGCCATGACAAACAGCTGTAGCCCCCAAGGCCGTTACTCAGCACCTGCCTCCTGCTCCCCTCCCCTTCCAGGAAGAGTTCCTGGGTTTGTGCTTCTCTTGCTTCTGAGAAGAGAAGACAAAACTCACACCTACCTGTTGTTGCAATTCCTGGAATGGTTTGTGCAGCTAAAAACAGTTCATCTATGGGATCCACCAAGTGTTTAATGTTAACTTTCCTGGCATTGTAGTAATTGCCATCAGCAGCCATCCCAGCGCGCTCTATCGCTATCAGGTGATCAAATCTGGTTAGAACGAGGGAGAAAACAGAGGAGAGGAATCAAAGCTGTGATCCTCGTGTCACAAACTCTCCTGGTGGCTGCTTCTCCCACTGCATCTGGTTCTGCTTTTTGACTATTCTGGATTCAAGGTAAAACCTGGATGCTATTTTGTTACTTCTTGATGTAGTTCTCTATGGTTTATTTTCAAAGGTTACTTGTTTGTTATAGCTTTAGGGCAACTCAAACCACATTTGCTACCAAGAAAAGGAGAAGTTCCTGAAATCCTTCTGACCAGCAATCCATCTGGCCTTCCTCTGTTTCATGTTAAAATACATAGTATCTTGTAAGACATCAGCCTCTCTGAGTGCTTTGAAAGAAAACAAAAAAGTGGCAAATTAATGAGCATCTAAAACCTTGTTAGTGTAAATGTAGTCTCTGCTTAAGGTATGTTGCTTAGCCAATGTTCATTTATTTCTAGTTAGGGGGTTCTTTGGCTTGGGCCTTCAGATTTAGGGGATTTTTCTTTAAGTCCATGGCTATTTTGCTAGTTATGAAAGTAGACAGATGTACCACAGATGTACCACATTTTAAGCAGAATTTTAGTACTCAGTTCTGCTACTGTACGTTAGAGGTAAGTTATTTTGCTTCTGTTTCTCCCATTTTACTTTCAGGAGGTTACTAATTCTGCTGAATTACTAAATGTTTTTTGTGGGTGGGTCTACAGTGACCTTAAGGAGGTTAGTCATCTACTTTAAAGAAACACTTCCTTTACCTTTTCGGGACTGTGGGATCAATTGAAATAGAAACTGGTTGTAATTATATTATCCATAGCTATAAACTGCATTTTTAAAACAAGAAATAAAAAATGAAGACAGCATCATGCATACTATTAAAGCATATAATTATAGCATACATTAACCTGTGGAAAGAATTAGGAATTGAGTAAGTTGCTGAAGCAAATACCAGGGTGAAAGATCTTTTTATTGAAGCAAACAAACTGAAGGCTACTACGTTAAAATGCTTTACAAGGAAATCTCAATAGAAGTGAGTAATGTATGCCTAATGAAAGGAAATGTAAGTTGCCTGCTAAGTAATGAAATGTGTGTGTACATCTACTTAACAAATTCTCCACTGCATTAACCCTACTCACACACTTTGTATAAATCTGAATTTTTGCCCAACACTGTATACTCAACATTGCATATGCAAACAGCTCAAACCAATATTGAGGAGTGCACGCATACACCTAGAATGTTGGCTTTGGCTGCCTGAAGACAACAGGATGATCAGTTTCACACAGCTGAAAAGCTTTTAGAAATTTTTCAAAGGAAAAGAGCTATCGATACATGAGGTATCGTTTCTTTTTTTATATTCCAGAAATGTGTAATTGCAGAATAACATGGAATTTTGTACTCCGCGTGTGCTCCCGTATCAGTTTTTGGTTTCAGAGCTGGTTCTGTTCCTTCCAAGCCTTGAGGATTTACTTGTAACCATTATGCCTTCTTAGACCATGGTCATTATTTTCATTATAACTTTAGATAGTTGAGGTGTGACCTGTTCCCAAAAACTGAATGCACATACCTAGGTTTTCCAGGATTCCCGTTCTCACACAAAAACATTAGAGCTGAATCAGCACTTTCCCTTTGATAACTCAACAGAGGGACAGGTCTCTTCAGGATTCCTACAGGAAAACAAAATGAAAATAAAATGCAGTTTAGATACTATGTACCATTTTTTTGGATGTGTGTTTGAGCTTGTTTGGATGTTAGTGCTAATAAATGGGACTTGAGATAGAAAACAGGTCTATGAGAATGAGGACAGGACTAGATGATCTCCAGAGGTCCCTTCCAACCCTATAACATTCTGTGATTCTGTGACATCCAGAACTCATCACAAACAGCTCATCCAGAATCAGTACCCAGACATGTCAGCATTAACTTGATGCCAGCTGGGTTTAACACAATGTCATCGTAGCGACGCTGAGCAGAGCTTAGAGCAGGAACTCTGGTTTGTTTTCTGGACACAAAAAAAAAAAAATAGAAAAAATCCTGTACTAAGTGAGGGTGAGATTAACCGAAGCAAACCTTGGCTCAAATTAGCAAGATAAAAACTGAAAAAAACCAAACCCTTGTGTTTTACCTAGTTGAACAGCCTCTTCAATAATCTTTTTATTCAGATTCATGGCTCTCTGATCTGTTACTATGGCAACCTCTTTCTCCAAGGCCTGCAATACAGCTGCAATAGCCAGGGCTCCTGGGGGCCCGTCATTTTCCTCTGGCGGCTCGTAGGTGAAGTGGGTTGGGAATCCAGTGGTCACCAGCACGGAGCGGGCGTGGGAGATGGAGAGACAAGCCTTCAGCAGCTCCTCGCGGCCCAGCAGATGAATTATACCCCGGTCTCCTACAAAAGTGTATTTAAAGAGAGCAGTGCACTTCAATATATCGTTCTCCTTTTGAAGTTTCTGTGTGGGTGAACCTGCACGCTTTATTGATGTAAAATCAGTTAAAAAAAAAAAAAAAGAAAGGAAAAACTTTTGGTCAAAGGCAGGAATTGGGGTAATTTCCTCAGGAAACCTAGGAAAGTGTAGGATATGAGTAACGGAGATAATGGGCTGTGCCTCCAGGTTAAGAATTTCAGTTAACCAGATTTTGACAATTACTACACCTAGCATTTCTAGGTATTGGTGTAAATAGCTTTTTCTCTCCTCTGAGAGGTTATTGCATGGTGTTTCCCTTCTCTTGGCCCCCTGCTTTCCTCTGATCGGTGACAACAGCCGTGCTAGACCCTGTCTGGCTGCTGCAGCTGGACTGCAACTTGGACATCCCAGACCTTGCAGAAGTTTTGCTTCAGATGAGTAAGCTGGTCCTTTGTCTCTGTTTAACTCCGTGCCCTTAGGGAAGAGCTAATTCCCAAATAAATTCCACTTAATGAAATGATTAACCCCAGAAGTGAGGTTTCAGAGACACTGTAAGTTACCAGGGGACTTTATAAACTCAGTGAATACAGTGGTATCCAGGTGACTGCTAAAAGATCTCGTAGCACTTCACGTAGTTGAGAACCGTGTTATCCGACCATGAGAAATAGGCAAATATTAACAGACGTCTCTTCATGTGAGTCAGTCCCTAAAGGGGGGTGAGGGGGGGACACTTTAATTGTTCAAACCAATCCCCCCTCCCTTCCCTGGGAATCACAAGTTCACAGCGCAGTCTTTTTGATTTGCTATTGCTCCTGAAAACCACAAATTCCAGCGTGATGTGCCAATATTCATGGGCTGACAGGGGGAGGTGAGCCCTCACTATTGTTTTCTAGCCTCCTCACACCTTCATCGTTCTCACCTTCCTCCCCTCACCCCTGCACTTTCCTCTTTTTGTCCTCAAGTTCTCCCTTTGCCATTTCTCCCTCTGCTCCTCCGCCCTCACGCACAGGCAATATCTTGGTAGTGACCACAGGAAAAAGTTCTGAGCAAAACTTAAGTAACAGAAGCAGGGAATATTAGTCTCTGAGAAGCAGGGTATATCATCTGAGATAAAGTATTGTGCTCTCCTCTAGCAGTGAGATGAGGCTAACTCTGAAGTTAGGCCCTGTGTTTCTGCAGAGCGTGGCATCGCGCCAAGCCGAACTCCGGAGAGTGGGAAAAGGAGAGGCCTTGTGAGTAAAAATAAACAGACCCAAACATATGCACACAGCCCAAACCAGCAGCTTGGGAGAGCTGGGCGTAAGCTGTTTTCCACCACTGCCTACAGAGAATTTCAGAAAATTTATGGGAAACTGAGATGAGAATTTACAGCGGGCGGAGGGGACTAATTCAGTGTGTATTTTAGGCACGGACGCGCTATTCAGTTTGCCTTTATTTCCCTCTCATCTGCCTTGTGTGCACACACAGCCCTACCTCTCAACCTTCTGTGGTGACCAGGTCCCTTCAGTCCATCACACACCACCTCAGGGATGAGTATGGCAGCAGAGCTGGGTGCAATCCCCTCCGTCAGAGAGAGGGATGTTTGAAAAGCACAGGCAACTACTAGAATTTTCTGGTAGTCACGAATACGTGTAAAGAAATTCACTCAACAGTGAATTCCCATGTAGCTGCTACCAACATGCTGAGGTGCCCTGTGCTGTACATTCCAATTTCAGTTTTATTCAGTAAGAGTTCCTATTCAGTAAGAGTTCTAATTCTCTCTGGACTCTCCAGTTTGCTGTAAACATTGACGCTTCTGTGTACTTTGAGAGGGTACAGTCATGAAGATCAGATATTCCATTACCCATAAGATTAAATGGTTTGGCCAGGCTCTGATATTAAATACAGTAATAGAAAATGTAAGACTCACATTTAACTCACTGTATTCCACAAATAATTTTTTTTAAATCTTAAAACTGCCTCTAGACTCTTACCGTGTTCTTGAACTTTATGAATATCTAAAAAAGCAGGATAGGTCATGGCTACCTCATAACAAATCCACTAAAGGAAGAGAGTTGTTTTTTTTTACCTGGATCTATTCCAATTAGGGTCTCTAGATTCCTTATCTTTTGGGCTGCTTCTGCTGACACGATGCTGTAATGCAGAGGATCCTGAGAAATGCGGTGGACTTGTGGGACTTCTCTTGAGGACCTGGTTGTGACACTGTCATTCTTTAGGTCGGTAATGAACATGCAGCCAGGAGAATGAGTAAAAGCTAATGGAGCTCCTAAAATGGGTGAAAAAACTTGCAATTAAACACCTTGTTACAGCAATATATTGAAATATCAGAATGGTAAAATAGCAACAAGCTATTTAACAACACTGAGTCCTTGGTTGATGGCACTTATATCATAAAAACAGGCAATACTTTTAAGTTACACTGCAGCAATTAAGACACTTTGAGAAAGAAATGTATGCATGTACATCTGAATGTTTTCACTTTTAGGAAGCTCTCATGAGTAGCTGAGATCAGGTTTTTCTACAATACCTTCTTTGGTATAAACTTGGGGCACTGAACACTTGTGCCCTCCAAAGAAGTCCGTCAGGAATCGGCAAGGCTGAAAGTTGGGTTTGAAACTGGTGCATCGACGTAGGAACAAGTTAATGTTTAAGTTTGCACAGTGCGTTGCTGATATTGTTTCCATAAGAATAAATTAATTTTCTAGGTTCTAGAGTGCTGCTGGAAGTTATGGTGTCTCCCTTCTAACGAAGGCCTTGTAATGGTGATATGACAAAACCATGTTAACTGCTGCCTGCGGGCTCGTAGCAGCCCTTTATGGGATTAAGAAAAGGGGGAATAGCATCTCTGCACCGTGCCTTGCCAGCCCGAGCCAGGAGACCTATAAACTGGCAAGGAAAAATGACAAAAGGTGACCAGGAAGCCTTAGCAAAGGGAATCTGAGTAGCATCTTAAACCCCAGTGAACAATAAGGTTATTTAGATCTGACCGCATAACCCTAAACTGAAAATATTTGCTGTCCTTATACTAAATCCAGAAATCTTGATCTAAATTATCATTGATTTGGCAAAATGTGTGTGTTGTTGGATAAATCCCAACTGGTACAATCAATATCTGACTTTGTTAGGATGGTGAGAAGGAAGGAGATGTTTCTTAAACAAGTACATATGTAATCAGTTTGTGCTAGATCTCTTGGGAGTTTATGGCAAATTAATTTAAAAGCAGCTGGGGAACGTGGTTTTTGAGGTTTAATGTACCTCACCAAACCATGAGAGTAGACAATATTTTTTGTGAGAAGCTAGCAGATTCATCTAAAGTATGGGTACTGGTGGTATGGCAGAATTTTAACTACGTAGATTATGAAAAGAGCACAGAAAGATACAACTGCCAAAAATTTCTGGAATGCGTTAATGACAACTGGTTTTAATACAGAAAATGGAGAAATACATCAAAAGTAAAAGCCAGTTCCAGGCAAAGGCAGGACAGACAGCTGCTTTGGGCAACAGACTGTAGAGAGGTTGGCAATTTTTTTCTCTTCTTTCCCTGCAACAAGCATGCACGAGGAAGGTGAATAAAACTGCTGGAAAGCACAGGAAAGAGAAGGATTTTCTGTTTGGATTTGGGACTGGAGAAAAGGCTTTGTATTTAAGAAAGGAAAAAGAAGTCTCTGCTCCTAGTGCTGGACGTATTTACAGCTGGAGTTGAGAGCAGTTTAGCTAAACATCTGTAAGAAACCACAAGGATACAGCAGAGGGACAAGCAGATGACCTCCCAGGGCTCTCCCAGTTAGCTGCTTTTCCAGTAAGAACTAAAATACAAGCTTTCATTCCACACTGGTGATTTAGAGCAGTATATAATAGTGTCACTTTGGTTTAGTTGCTTTTTCTCGCCCTTTGTGCTCACGCCTGTTATAGGTGGCTGGGTAAAGTGCAGGACAGCTCTGTGTGCTGGGCAAAGATTCATCTATATGAAGTCTGTTACATTTACTTCATTTTAGAACAAAACCTAAAAGCTCAAAATTCTTTTCCAGGTCAATTCATTTGCAAATTGATTTACTAGGCCTTAACAACATTTTGATAAGCTTTCTGGCTGCTTCTTTTTTTTTTTTTCTGTTTTTTCCCTTTATTATTGTTGTACTGAAGTGTAATAGAAAATAATGTTTTAAAAGGAAGAAGCTTAAGAAAGAATGCTTCTGGTTTCTAATAACGCTTAAAACAAGATGTTTTGATGGAGCCAGAGCTTTAGGTTTCTGCCTCTAAAATACTCAAACAAAAGTGATGGAATTTCACTATGAACTTCCTTGAAGGTAGACTTGTATTTCACAGTGGAAAACAGTCCTGCAAAATGGTTTTTTTTTTTTGGTCATTTGATTGGGGTTTTTTTTATCTCACCCTAAAATCAAGCCCACTAGTCAGCCAATTCATTCGGTCCATATTTAAAAAAGAAAACAAAAAAAAAAAAAGAGAAAGAGATTAAAGGATAATTTTAAGAGTCTCCAAATACAGTACATACTGCAGCTGATGACTGCTTCTACTCCTGTTACTCCACAGGCCCAAAACACTGGAATATCACCAGGGTGAAGTTGAACTGGGTCTCCATAATCTGGTTTGGAAAGATCTTGTATTCCCAGCAGGCCTGGAATTGATCAAAAATGAAATACATGAGAGATTCCAATTAAGCTGTACTCTGCAAAACCAGGGGGGAGCGGACCCCAGGCATCACTCAGTGACACTAAGTCACTTGCAGCAGTGGCAAGCACCACCGAAGTGGGGCTTTTAGTTTGCCTTTGAGTGCGTGTCCCCAGAACCTGAGCTGACTTATCTTCCCTGCTTGATGACCTCAGTAAGAATGTATTCACTTGATTTCTGCAACAAAACACAAGCTGGTCGTGTATGCTGAGCTTCCAAGATACTATAAATCTTCTCCATCAACAGAAGAATTATATTCACAACACTGGCAAACAGGATAAATGACTGCAATGCATAATGGCTTCTTTCTAGAACATGTTTTCTGCTGCTTTAGCTTCCTACATTCTTTAGCTAGAGAAATGAGCAACCATTCTTTTACCTCTCTGGGTTAGATATCTACGTCTCACTCTTGCCCATCTTACACATATTCTGGGTCATTCTAAGCACTTGGTCTCTTCCCTTAGTTTTAAATTCTTCAGGCATTTTAATATACCACTGCCTTTTTCGGAATTAATTTATGTAATCTGCATCTATAATAATTTGTTAAAAAACATAATAGTGGAATTCCTTACTTGCCCAATCATCTTGTTGCTCTCCTCAAAGTAATGACTTATAACTAGTTCCTCAGATTTAAGCACTCAATATATTACTGGGGTGTGTTGTTTCCAATGGCATCTCCTTCCATGCTCTGCAACGTGATCCTTCTGTGCATGCAGCCCAAGAGTCTACTGACTGACAGATTTCTGTCAGCAGAGGGAACTTTTTTTTTTTTTTTTTTACTGTGATCTATCTTCATCTTACAGGTGTTTGGTTTTGGTTTTTTTTCCAAACAGTTGCCTGGTTTATATTTTTTTTTCAGTTTTCCCTTGCAAAGAATAGGCCTATACTTGTTTGAGGTTCCTTTTTTAAAAAAAAATGTATTCTTTTCATATTTCTATTTATTCTGTCTTCAGTGTTGCACTCAATGTATCCTATTTCAGTATTTTTTAAAATTATGCAGTATTTACTTTCACAGTCATCCGCTAAGACACAAAATGCATCCACACATACTTCTCCCCATGCTGTCAATCACTGCTCCCCTGTCACTGAAATCTCTGACAGCAAGAAAGTATTCACATATAAATGAAACTGCATACATTTTAGAAAAATGTGATTGCACTTTTTAACCAAAACCACCTCTGCCATATAACTTAATTTATCGACATCAGACAGCTATCTTTTATCCAAGAAATCTGTGCTCATTCAAAACCTACTTTTTTCTTTTTTTTTTTCTTCTTCAATTCAGCTTTGTGACCATTAGAAAGGAATACATAATAAATTTACTGGTGCAGGTATTTCAGTCCTACCACTTTCCATGGTTCCCCCCCACTTCATTTTTATTAATGGTACGGTGCATGCAGAGGGAAATATGAAAAGCACTGACCAGGGTCCCCCACGTGAATTGGTGCTCCATGAGCTTCTTTTAATCCAGATGTTGCTACCACAGCTGCTTCCAACTTGCTCTCAGGAATAGGTCTCATTGTGACTACTAAGTTGCAGGAAAAAGTCGAAATGCTGTAGCAAGGCACAGCTGTCTGGCAGTTTTAAAGAATCCAAGGTGTTAGCAGGAATATTGAATAATAAAGTATTAGTAGAAATAAGTCTAAAACTTTGCACTGTACTTTAGTTTAGAAAGGCTGCATACTAACAGTAATTTTAAATACTTTTAAAAAAAATATACTTCTTAGCATCCCATAATTTTTTTTTTTTGGCAAGATCCAGCAGTGCAGGAGTTAAACACTCTGTCCTTGAGCTTCTTCGTATAGATCACTATGACTTTCAATATTATGCAATTTTTTTTTGCAAGATCCAGCAGTGCAGGAGTTAAATGCTCTGTCCTTGAGCTTCTTCATATAGATCACTATGACTTTCAATATTATGCATTTCTTGCTCCCATACATACAGCATAGAGTGTGGTGAGCTCTACAGCCACCTGAAAGGAGGGTGTAGCCAGGGGGGGTCGGTCTCTTCTCCCAAGGAACAGGCAATAGGGCAAGAGGAAAGGGCTTCAAGTTGCACCAGGGGAGGTTCAGATTGGAGATTAGGAAAAATTTTTACACGGAAAGAGTTATTACGAGGTATTCAAAAGACGGGTAGACTTGGTGCTTAGTGACATGGTTTAGTGATGGTTTTTTATCAGAGTTAGGTTGATGGTTGGACTAGATGATCTTGATGGTCCCTTCCAACCGAGACAATTCTATGATTCTGATACAGAACCAGCACACTGGTTCCACACGTACAAAATCTTCTGTGCCTCTAGAAAGGTTCTATAGAATTCATCACTCTCACTGACTGGGAGGCTGAAGCTCCTTTTCCCTTCGCAAATAAAGCAGTTCAGCTTTTTAGAACAAAATGTCTGATATCAAAGTTGCACTCAAATATCAACAAGATATGGAGACAGCTAGGACCGTATAGAAAATGTTCATTAACAATCTTTATAACAAAAATCCTTATACCCATCACTGAAGAAAAACACTGTACAGTTCTTCACTGTAGAATATAAACAAGATATGGAGACAGCTAGGACCATATAGAAAATGTTCATTAACAATCTTTGTAACAAAAATTCTTATACCAGAAGAAAAACACTGTACAGTTCTTCACTGTATTGATATGCTATAAACTATGAATTTTTCCTAATTCTGAAATGCTATAAGCAGATACGTAGTTGTATTTTTTTTTCTTTAAGGTTGGTAGTAGGACTCGTATTTGATGCGTTTGTGCCTTCATTTTACTGAGGAGTACAGCAAAAGGGTTGTGAAATGCTAGCACGGAAAGCAATAACCTTTGTCTAGTAGAAGAGTATACATTCATATATGAAAAAGGCACGTGGATGTGTATTTTAGTGTTCTTAATGCTAAAGGGTCTATCTACTGGAGCCAGAATTAATCCAGGACTTTTGTTGACATCAAAATCTGAACTGTAAACTTTCTGAGCACGGTTATAATTTTCAGTGCTGTGGCGGATACCTGACCTTTTTGGGAACAGCTTCTGTCCCACAAGTCTGGGTTGGTAGCAAAAAGGCAGTTTAGAGGCTCTGCTGTCATGTTAACTGGCCATGTTAAGACAAAGACTATGTGTGTGTGCAAACACTCACCTTATACATGCTCACATTACATTTTTGCTCAACGTTTCTTACAGGAATGCCAGCATTTTGGACGGCTTTTTCAAAAGAGAAACTGCAGCCCAAATAAAAAGTCACCATGTCCTTAAGTTGCTCAGAATACTCCTTTAGGCTTTTCAGAGTCCCAGTGCAAGCTCCGTGCTCATACATTCTGTACTGCAGGCAGTCAGTTCTAGTGAAATAAGAAGTTATCACAGCTTTATCACATTTTTTTTGGAAACAAGGCGACTCGTTTGAATTGACGCTAACCCAGTATCACACCACAGGATACAGCCTACTTTATCCATGTCTTTTCTTTCTGAGTAAGAGGGAAACAAAAATAGTGCAAAAACCCCAGAAATGCCTTATTCTGCACAAAAACAAGCCAGTTAACAGAACATGTTAGAGTCTGCTATAGGTAAATGTCCCTTATATGTATCTTGTCTCAGGGCTTCAAAATATTTGGGAGCTGCTTTAAGTCTTGTTTTTAGCATTTAGAATCATAGAACACTTCCAGGGATGGGGCATCCACAACTACAGGAGCACATCTTTTAAATTTCACAGACTCTACAGATACCATGCAGTCTTCATGCCTGCGTTACTACTAAATAGAACAAAGTTTTGTTCTATTATTATTATTTATTAATAGTAATTACTATTATTATTTCATTCCACTGGCTCGGACTGCAACATATTTAGAAATCACACAATTTCACTTACACGTTTCTCAAGAACAAGAGGATCAGGCTGATAGACTCATGCATAGTTTTCATTCAAAGGAAAAGCTCCAAGAAAAGAAACTTATTTGAAATGTACAACCGTGCCAGCGGGCTGTTCCCTGAAGCCCTCCTAATCCCCACCAGCAGAAGGTTGAGGGGCAGAGTGGGTGGGTAGTTACCTGATGTCAGAATCACCACTCAGAGAAGGACATTTCCAATCACCTGGTTTGCTTCTGTACAGCAGGGGCAGGGGGCCGGCGTTCGCCTGGCAAAACTTCTCAAAGTCATCGGCCAGGGACTTGTGCAAAATCACCACATTGGCCTGTTTGTAGCCTGAAATGGTGGGAGGGAGGAATGACTGGTGATTAATTCAGGTTTTTGTTTGTGAAACGGTAACTTTTCTGCGTAGATTTCTTTAGGTGGTCTATAAAAAAAAATTATCTTAAGGAAATTTTTGATTCTGAACTCCGTAATTAAATTAAACAGCTTTTGGAAAGGTTTTAAAAATCCTAGATTGAGGTACTCTGTATGTGAATTTATTCACAGCTAAAATAGTTGGCAGTCATGGGTAGTACTAGATTACAAAGACAGCATAATTACTTTAAGAAACACTTCTATTACCTAACCTGGAAAATTGATGTTTTATAGGAAAATGCTTTACTCTGCAAATGTTAGGACAGACCCAAAGAAAGGCTATTGCATACCACACTTTTAGAATTTATATATAAACATAATCTATTACCTAACCTGGAAAATCGATGTTTGATAGGAAGATGCTTTACTTTGCAAATGTTAGGACAGACTCAAAGAAAGGCTATTGCATACCACACTTTTACCATTTTTTTTTTCTTCATTTAATACCAAGCTATAAATCATGGCTGGTCCAACAGTAAACTCCTGGTATCTTGACGTTATGTAGCCCATGCTATCTTGGCTATGGAATTATACTGTGGGCTGCAATTTAACAGACACAATTACAGCTCAGGAATAAACTCTTGCCTGTCACATAATCTCAGTACTTTCTACTATTTCTAATTTAAAAAACTACAATGAACAGAACTGCTACACTTTCTTCATTGGGAATCAAGTTTGATTGAAAAGGTTGTTGACTGCTACCATGCCATATCTTCTAAATGCATTAATGTTTTTTTTAATGGGTATCAACAAAGAAACTCACATTCATTGATTTACCAAAAATTTATTTTCTAAACACTAGTAGTTAATACCAATGCCATTTAAATTTTCCTGTGTGTACATACCAACTGTTCAAATACAGAGAGGAAATCTGGAGTACAACTGGTCTGTGGTCTATAAAGCTGCCAATTAGCAGTCCCTGTATCGATACTGTCCTGAGCAGTTATTACCATGTCTGATATCAGATAGGCGAGTAAGAGGCTGCATAAAAGCTCTCACTTTCTTAAATACTGCAGTAGTCTGTCATCCAAGAGGCAATCTTTTAGTTGAAACCATTGATCTGCCTTAAAAGGCTGTAGAAAATCAGCCAAATCTTACTCTTGACCAAAGCTAACAAAGAAACCAAAAGATAAAATTCTCTTCCTGATGGAAAAATGCAAAGCAAAAGCTGAGGTAAGCATGTATTTGCATACTGAATGTGCCCACAAACTGCTCTCTTGGGAGTACTCAGCACAAAAATTCATTTTATTACTAGCAAAAGCTACTAAATACAGAAACAGTTTCTTGCTAAATACAGAAATACATTTTCGTTAAACAAACATACTAAATTTACCACTGAATAAAATACTACATTCAGTTACGCCTCAGCTTCATTCCCTGCTGTCCATATGAAATCCACAGGCACTTTCTACTTTGCTGCTGATATTCAGGACTTCTCAAAATTTATGGGTTTAGTCAGTGCTTTCAACTTGGACAACACTGAATTTAAAACACGAGTCACAGCTGACAGACTGGATCTGTAGGTATAAACTCAAGAGGCTTCGTTATAGCTCTCTGACAACTTTATTGCTCCTGCTGACAACTAACCTTACTTTCTTTATAGACAAAAAGATATTTTTCCCTTTCCAACATATACTTGCATTAAGTATCCATCATTATGAATATATTCACGAGCAATGTTAGTGAAGCTGGATGTGCTGATCAACCCATGCATTAATTCAACACACTCGTGTTCCAGTTCAGAGAAGTTTAGCCAGAGGTTTTAATTTCTTTGGTGAGTGACAATGAGGGCAGTAAGAAATAATTATTTTAGTAGTATATCACCCAGCAGCGTAAGACAGTTTTAAGGATTTTGAGAAATTCCAATCCCCCTAGTATTTTTAGTCTTTGCATAATGGAGCTGTATGGTCATGGACAGAAGTCTGAACTTGTTTTGTATATAAACAATACCTTTTTCAAATATTAAAATTAACACATTTAAAACTACTGCAGCAATACATGCACTTAAAAAGACAGTTGGGACAAAATGCAGATTATTAACATTATAACACGTTTTCCATTAGTATTTTTCAAATTATGTACTGACGGAAAAAAACCCCACAATTTCAAGAATCACTGTGCTCCTATAAAATGAACCTTAAAGTTCTTATGTTCCAGTAATGCTACTGCACGCGGCTTTGTTGATCAGCTACTGGCCACAGCATTTGTATTGAAGTTACATTTGAAAGTTGATCAGAGCAGTGACACAGACGTCTCTGCTTCTGTAAAAGTCCAGCTATGACAGGCAAGACAGAAATCAATTTTTCAGAATGCATTCAGTTATATTGAGTATAAAACTATTTTTTCCCTCCCCCTTATAATTCCCAGTTTTGCTGAGTCAGTAATTTCCAACTTCTGTAGCAAATGAAGTGGAAAACCACTTCTGTAACTACACATCTCTCATTCTTCCCCAAAGTCCCCGATGCACAAAGTAAAGCGAGGTCTCTGTGAAGAACACAGTATGCCATCCTGAAAGTGTGATCATAATACATGCAAGAAATGCCAGATTTGGTTAAAGATTTTTCAAATATTTTCTGCACCCATGATTCCTCAGTGACATAACTGGGAGCTGAGGGATGCACTGCAAACTTGGAAATCAAAGTCCATGTACTTTACACAGGTGGGATGATATATTTTCTCTAACACAGCTTTATGATTTAACAACACAGTGTCAGGTACTCACAATGCGATTTCAAATACACCTGAACATTTTATTCTGTATTACTTCAGTGTTTTTGATATTCCTACATTCCTTCACAAACAAAAAGAGAAAACACACAGGTATGAATCTAGAATGGGATTGCTTTTGCACTTTGAGCTGTTAGGTTTACCTACCCTCTGCCATTCCAGAAGTATTACTCATACTGAGTCTGTTGCATCGAATTACTCTTCTTAGCACGTGGGGAAGGAGAGATTTCAAGCCTCCGGTCAAAATCATCTCTTCAACCTTAATAAACAGAAATTTAAATACAAAGCACATTTATTTTGTTGACATTTTAAATTCTGATTTCCTGGAGAACTTGGCTTAGGTTTCCTCCTCATGCTCCCCAAAGTTATTATCACTGGGAAATTCTAAGTTATAACCCAAAAGGCAGATCAAAGTCAAAAGGTTACTTCACTGACATTTTATGACTAATGCAAACTGAATCTTTCAATAAATTAGCCAGGCACGTAGTTTAGCATTCAGGAGAAAATGCAAAGTTTTGCTGCCCTGTAATGTAAGAAACAGATTTCTTTTCTCCCTGGTAAATATTCATTTTCTAGAATATTCACTTTTCCAAAATTCTTTGTAACTCTAAATTGCAAAAGCACAAATGAATTAAACTACCAAGCTATAATCTGTAATATTACTTTTCTGTTCAAAATGCTTTTAGACGATCAGCAATGCAGTCTTGTGGTAAAGAGAGAGAAATATACTCAGAAAATGTCCTTCTGACACATTCCACACATATTATACTTTTCAAATATTAATTATGTAGAAATGAATATTCCTGTGGCTACTCTTCCACTGGGAAGCAGACATATAGATGTTTAAGACCCTTGTCATACAATCTGAAGTAGGAACAGAGATAAGCACCCTAATCACAAGTGAATCTGACTCTTAATATCTTTTAGAGATTTAAGATATCTTTTTCCTGCAACCTAGTCGAAGCTCACACAAAGATTTTTCCTCAACCTAAACTAACTAATAACTAAAAAAGGGTTTAGTACATCACTAATAGAAAAAAGTAAAAGATAGCTCAGGGTAAAATAATAACTTGGCTGCTTATGTTTTTAATCTTGGTCACTTTTAAGTAAAGAAACTAAACTGGCCTCAAAGTAATCAGTTTACCAACCTCCAAGTTTTCCTTTGATTCAGAAGAAGCCATTCTTGATGTCATTCATAAGAAGTAATAAATATGATAGAAGCTGTGCTGCTTTTTTAAAAAGATGCCAGTAAATTAATGTACAGTGAAGTGTTACAACCTTCTAGCAAAAGTTAACTTTTCTGTTAAAGGTCCATAGTTTTTGTACTATAACTACAATAGTACAAAGTTTCACTCTCAGAATGGAGCAGAATTAAGCGAAACTCTCTATCGTGAAAATTTATACCTCTGAGCAATTCATTCCTTAATTAAGTTGAAATAAGAGCAGTGATATGTTTTGATTGAAATTACACTCACATCATAGCTGTCTGTCCTAAATCTTTCCCAAGCTTGCAGAATTTGGAGAGGTTAAGCTGGGTGCACTGAAATGTAGAGTAAGCTTTTTATCTGTTCTTAATTCTGAATTTTTTATATAATGTCAGTAACAAGAAATTAATTTGGAATTTTTTTCTGAACTCTACTTTCTAACTCTTCTCATCTTTTCTGCTTTTACATTATCACTCTGTATGCTGCACAAAAAACAGTCTTCATTACAAAATTATGAACAATTCCAAACACATACTTTAAAGATAACAAGAAATTGGATTAAGAATTGCAGTTGAGCTCTAATCCAGGACTCTAAGTGTCAATTTAAGAGACATTATTCTTACTGCAAAGACAATTTCTAACACCAGTCAGGAATTATTCACTCCAGAGGTTTAAAATTAACCACTGTGATCCTAATAATAAAAAAAAAAAATCCAGGTTTCTTCATTAGATTATTTTAAAAAAAAAAATAAAAAATCCAGGTTTCTTCATTAGATTATTTCAGAATGTTTTTCTTTATTTCTGAGCATCTTCAAAACCATTTAAATCATCTGTCAGATTCATGGCCTCAAGAACTACTAGCCTACTTGGATTTGAAAGGCAGGCTGAAGTTCAGGAAACTGAAGCTGTCTGCAGCTGGGTGTGTTACCACAAATGCCCTGGTGTGATGTTGGGCAAGCCTGATTCCCCCCTCATAAAATGTGTGTCCAGTAGCAGAAATGGAAGTATCTATGAAATTTTATCAGCAAACATTCAGGTGCCAAGAAGTTTCAGGTTTGTATGACAGCAAGTGGCCAACAAGCTAGAGGACTGTGAGTCTCAGCAGTGCCGAAATGTTGGCTCTAAGTACCCCTCAGAAGTACTTGGGCTTGTCGTTCCTATCTGTGAACCCAGCAACATACATTCTTGATGACTGGTTAGGAAATGAATAATTTAAACATTAACTTTGTGTAAAAGCTGACTGATTCATCTCTTTCAGATGAGTGATAAAACTCGCCTTATGACCATTTGCAATCACTAAAGTAGCTCTGTTGATTTTATATAACTATAGGGAAAATCCAAGAGGATTAGCATTCTGAGTTTTAACTTTAGACCGGTGTATTTGCTGTACAATGTCACTAATACATTACGCTGCTGTTTTTCTTTATTAGTTGCTAAATTTGGATAGATGATAAAAACTGTTAGATGGTCATAGTGAAAACTAGTTTTTGCTGTTTCACTTCCTCAGGAATAGCTAGTTTCTATGCAGTATGTTATCTCCCTGTGCTGCGGGGTACGGTCAGGTTTAGATTCCCCAACCATTTCTAGGATCTCCTGGAAAATTGTTGGAGTCATCATGATCACAGCTTGTTTGGAATGGCAGGGGAGAAGCACCAAGATAACTCCGGTCCTAGAGCACCTTCTGCACTTTGTCCCATCAGGACACCTAACAAATTGTACAGATTGGCCCCATGGGGCCCTCAAGCTGCTCTCTAACTAAACGGTCTGGCACTGGTAATCAGTTCTCAGGATCTGTCCCCTGGCAGAGGTTTTTCAATTTCTTTCATTTTGTTTTGAGATACCTACCATTATCTGAAACTATCAGCTCTCTCAAGGGGGTGTGTTGGATCACGATACAGATAAAGACAGGGTGCAGGAGAAGTGTTAAAAAGCCCTTAAAAGAAGATGCTGACAGAGTTTATGAGATGGCTGTTGTACCCGAGGGCATGCTATGTGATGTCTCCTCACTAAGAGATCCCAAGATCTGGCTTTCCAGTCTGGCTTGCCTTTAATGGAATGAACCTCTAAAGAGGACTCGATCTAATCCTGGGTAACCAGCATTTGAAAATCAGTTAATTCACTGGCTGTGTAATGACAAACTTCATACTTAAAGCACTCAGTCTGAAAAAGAACCTTGTTCTAAGTCATGTTGCTCACATCAGACTCCCAGACTTACAGTACCAACAACCAATACTGTAGAGCTTCATAGCACTGAAATGTCAAAATCACTCTTGAAATACCTTTTCTTACACCTTGGCTTCCACATTAGAAACACAATAAAACACTTTTCTTTTTAGAGCTTTCAATGAACGTTCAATGTATTTCATGGGTATTTTGAGTTTTACGTACTGAGCTTAAATGAATAAATAAAAATGTCCAAGACATTAGAATGACACTTACCCACTATTGATTACATGAACGTTCAATGTACTTCATGTGTATTTTGAGTTTTACGTACTGAACTTAAATGAATAAATAAAAATGACATTTTCTAGAATGTCATACATTAGAATGACACTTACCCACTATTGATTTGTGGCCACTGCCATATCCTGACCCGCACTTCCAGATCTTGACAAGGATGACAGAACTTCAAAGCTGGAAAGGGATAATAAATGTACAAAAATGATCAATAAGAATGGTGTAGGGAGCTGTGTGATCAGACAGTGACGGCGGTTTGGCACACGCCATATCAGTAGTTCAGAATAATGAATCAACTTGTCAGAAACCATATTGTATTGAAATGACTTTATATTAAAAAGACACATGTATTCAGAAGAAACCTTTTCTTTGTATCAGTGGCAGTCAAGAAGTACAGATATTACCAGCTTTGGTAAAAGTTCTAAACGAATTTTGGGTCTGCTTTTAATAAGTAATGTAAAATTGCTAGGTGACATCTTCATTTAGCATGTGTGTAGCACCACCCCAGTAGGGTTAAGCAGCTACACGCTACTGGATTACTTTGGGCTAGCTTATTTGCAAAATATCCCATTACCTAGGCAACAATATTGTCAGGAAGGCTGGATTTGGAGGGTGAACATTTTTTTTTTTCTTCAGAAATTGTGATCAATTGTTGCCATGTGAAGCTCTATGTCATTCACCATTTCCACCCACTGCTCCCGGTGCACCAGCTGAGTACGGTGACTGTGTGCATGGAGATGCTGATCTTTGCTGAGGTGATAGGAACAAGACTGGTTCTAAGCCTCATCTTTATAAGTGATAGTAAAGAATATGCACTATTTCCCCTGAATCCCACAACTCATGCTAGGAAAAAGGCATGTTGAGAGGAATGTTACTTTATCCAGTACTTGAAGGGGCCTACAGAGAAGATGGGGAGGGACTCTTCATCAGGGAGTGTAGTGACAGGACAAAGGGTAATGGTTTTCCATTGAAAGAGGGGAGATTTAGATTAGATACTAGAAAGAAATTATTTACTGTTAGAGTGGTGAGACACTGGCCCAGGTTGCCCAGAGAAGTTGTGGATGCCCCATTCCTGGAGGTCTTCAAGGCCAGGCTGGATGGGGCTTTGAGCAACCTGGTCTGGTGGGAGGTGTCCCTCACCATGGCAGGTGGGTTGGAACTCCATGGTCTTTAAGGTCCCTTCCAACTCTAACCATTCTACAATTCTATGATCTTGTTAAAAAACCCTGCTGCTCTCAAGAGGTATATCCTTGTCTGTAATATCACTTAGAGATTCACTAGTTTCTATCTTTAAGCCTTGTCCGATAATAAAGTTAGTTACTGTATATCAAGGTAAGTGTTAAATATTCAACAGTAATGCTTGGAAAAAGTGAATGATACCATTCACCTTTGTCAAGTTCCAGAGAGGGTGTAATTGAGGTTGCCTTGTCTTTCAGAGGACTTGTCTGATGGACAGTGTAGTCTCTTTGCACCACCCTGGTGTTTGCGTGTCTCAGGCTATTTCTTGTTTCTTCCCTCTTTCTTTTGTCCACATTTTGCCTCTGTCTCTTCCTTCTCCTTTCCCTCCATCTCCAGAACTCCAAGCTGGACTCACCTTTGTAGGGCTGGCTTCCTTGGTTTGTCTGATGGCATCCTTTGGCAATATAGGAATTTGGATGCCTTCTCTCCTCTTACTACCTTTTTGTAATTTATATACTTGCTGTATCTCTCATTTGTACCTTAAACTCCCTCTCCATTTTCAGCCACAAATGAGCTTTTCCTGTTCTCAATCTGAGACAAAATAATCTAACTTTAGAAATCACAAAACACAATAAATGCGCAAATGATTTCCTAGACTTGTAAAATGCAGATTCCTCTGAACCTCAATACCTACACCTACCTGTAGAGATATATATACACACACCCTTTTAATATTACAGATAGGCTTAGATTAAGCATAATTTTTCTAATTACTTCTTCCTTACTTTTTGACAGCGGAACCATCAAATAGCTTTGCAAAGTTATGTATCTTGACATTAAATTGCAGATTGAGCAATAGTTTATAAAGCATTTTTACAATCTGCAGAGCATAATCTCTTTAGAGAAAAAGAAGGAAGTGCAGTAAGTGGAACATTTTGTATTACCTTAGAGCTTTCAGAATGAAAAAGTGAATCTGTAAATTTCGCAGATATTTAAATATGAGCATAGATTCTTTTCAGGCCCACACTGTAAATTATTCATTACCCAGAAAAATGGAAAAATGTCATTTAAGTGTCAGAAAGATTACACTTTGAGATGCAGTGGGTGTGTCCATAGCGCTGTGCTAAACCACACCGGATAAAAATGAATCAAAAAAATAAAAAAAATTTACATAATAACGCAAAAGAATTAATCCATCCTTCAGAAGTGCCAGTGTGACTGCATTGCCTTCACGCGTCTCGGGTAAATTCATGAAATAAAACTAAAAACATACATTATTTCTGTGGTTTTAAAGATGCATCATCTGAGAACAAACAGCCTGGAAAAAGTACTGCTGGTAAGAGCCAGACTGATAAAGTAGGTAACACCAGCTCCTCATGTCACTGATTATGGGTCTGTTTCTGCATTGGTACCAATATGCTAGTAAGAATAGGGTTGAAAGCAGTGATTTTTCAAAGTGTAGCTTAGAGACTCACAAGGAGCCCAAAGGCTCTTAGGAAATATAATCTTGCACTGTTTATATCACTTTTGTCCTCTTTTCAGTTTAAAGTTTGACAATAAGAACAGGTGGTGGCATGTCCAGGTTCACGGGCCAAAAAAAGGGCAGGGGTCACCCTTTAGCCCTGCTGGGCAGGTTTTTTTAGATATTGTCCCACAGCTGGCTTGCCCAAAGCTCCTGCTGCACCAGCAGAACAGCAGGGTAACTTGAAACACGAGCCAGCCCACAGGCTGCCTTTACTGATACATAATGGAAAGTAATCTAAACTAATTATACTCTAACAACCCCTTTGTGTACTGTGCCTTGCCCTAGTATGAGTAGGGTTACAGAGGTTTGTTAATGTAAACATAGTTTAAAATGACCTGTTGCTTAATCATTGAGCTGATTTGAAATCCTGCCAAGAGACTTCCGTGAAAAAGCACAAACTCCTCTCAAAATTCACCCCATTTCGTTTTCCAACCAACCGGGTCTCTCAGTTATATTTGTGATGTCTTATTTGAAGAATCAATTCATGATCCATTTTCTCCCCATCTGCTATGAATCACTTCAAAGCACACAAGTGCTTTGTGTATCATTCCAAAGAGGAAGTGCTTTGTGTATTTTCAGACAGCGGCCTCCTCCAGAAAATTAAGATTTAACTTTACGTTTGAAACACAGGGCATTTGCCTTTGAAGTTGATGCACCTTTAGAGGAGGGCTGCAATAAGAAATTTAAATTAGTTTCCATTAGCGTTCTCTGTGCTGCTTAAAGCAGCCAGCCTATAGTCAAGATCCCACAGATGGTGTCAGGATGAGAAACCTACGATAGAATCAAGGTATCTTTGATGCAATCTTGTTTACTCGCAAAAAAAAAAAGAAACACAACGTTTATTTTCTCCCAGTGTATTGAGAAAAAAAAAACAGAAAGCAATTAGCAGTTCAGGCAGCACCTCGTGTTTGTGTGACACGTCTCCCACAGGCTCCCTGAACTTCCACCACCCCATTTGTAGTATTTTACGCTCAGCTTCTGCTCTGGGACAAAACAAATGGTTTCTCAGGTGCTGTAATAAGGGCAGAGACTAGAGACTGGTTCACGTCAGGCCCAGCCTTTGCATGGGCACAATCTGTGCCAGATGTCGATTGTTGAGCCTTTTTTTTATCCTGCAAAGGATGAGGTCTGATGACTTCACGCACCCTTCCAACCCCTTGGGTCATATCCTGATACCTGTGTGCCCTGTCCCATCATCTTACAAGAACACAGGATTAACAGGCTTTAGAGCAGCCACCTCATTTACACGCACCTTTGGCAAGAATCTGCACACACGTTAAGAGGAGACGAGGGCCTTTATCAAGATTTAAAAATGCCACTTTCATGCCTTTGACTGTGCAGAGAGGAAACTCACCAGCTGCAGCAAGAAGAGACAGCAAATGATCTACCAGAGGTTGTTTTCATATAAGATGACAAGAAGTGCTCATTCAACTTCAAGAAATTGAAAAAAAAAAACAAACCCCACGAGGGTGGTATTTAAATATAGTTTCCCAATCTACACTGAGCTACAGAAGATCTTCAGAATTGCTCCGCAATTCTCTGGGCTGGCTCCAGCCACCAGTTCTCTGTCTTGGCCTCTTCTGACACTGAGACAACCCAAGGGTGCAGGAGGACCTTGCCTGCAGGCCCCCAGTGCCAGCCTCCCCCTTGCCCCCTCAAGCAGCGTTGGCAGCCAAAGGGATGAGTGTTGGCTGGATAACAATTCCTAAAGTGAGGAAAATTTTTCTTCCCAGTCTTACTCACGCAGAATGGAAGTGGAAGCCCAGAGGACAAAGTGCAGTGACTTGTCCTGCTCTGTTTGCAAGGCAGGAGCCACGGGTGATTATTTTGATAAGAAAGTGTGTCCCCACCCAGGGTACACCCAGTCACGTCATGCGTGGTCACAGGGCTGACAAGGTGCCCGTTCCTCCCAAGGAATTCCATCTGGAGGTAAGCAAGTGAGCGATGTTCTGCTCCCTACACACCATAAAATTAGTACCACACTTCCCAAAAAACCATGCCATACTCCTGCTGGCAGGTCATTCAGGCTGCCCCCAGGACTATGCCATTTTTTGGGGGATCAGGTGTCTGCCAGCAGGTGCCAAGTCACCGCACCCACTAAGCAATTCTCCTCAGATATGGTCACTAAAGGAATGATTGCAGCCTATGTATTTACACAAAGCCCTGGAAAAGTGGGTGTCTTAGCAGGCTGTGCCTGGGGAACCTCCAGTGAATTGTACCTCTCCAAGCACTACCAAGCACAAGCATCTTTGCCTCCGCAGATACCTCTGATGGAGAGATACTGACTTGTTGTTTCACTGATACCTTCAGCTCTCACACTGAGAACTAATGTCAACAGCTCTAGAGGACCAAGCATCATTTCCTTGATGGAATCATCCACCAGAATAATCCTTGACGAAGCAGAGAATGAGCTACCCCACAGCTATAGGCTGCTGTGGTGCCTACTGTCTAGAAGAAAGACAGGCTTGAACTGAAGCATTGTGTTTTGAAGAGGAAGTCCCCTTTTACTTTATGTTTTTAAATTGAGGGAAAGGGTACAGGCCCTTATCAAAGTGTCCTCTACAGCCTGATCCCCCAGCACGGGCACGATTCTGATGCAGCCAGTCCATCACAGTCACCTCAGAACATCACCATAGGTGCCTTCATGTGCAGTTTCAGCAGAGAACTCAAGATGTTGAAAAAATACACAGTTCGCCTCTCTAGGTCATAGAATTCATCCTGAACTTTTACTGCTTTTCCCTGTTTCATGGGTAAATAGAGTAAGACCTGTGGGCCTATCGCCCTCATACCTTTTCTCACCATTAAAATACTTTTTTTTAAAGCAGCTCGGTGTTAAAGAGATGACTCATAATGCTGCAGCATCAGTTAGCTGAACTTGAAAGAGATGTTAATGGCATAATTTTGATTTTCATTACCAAACAATAAGAAGGTAAGGGTTGAAATTGTCTTATGCATCTATCACCTCATTTTATATTTTTAAAATATAAATAGGCTGCAGAGGTTGGTGTGCTCTACTTCCAAAATTCCATTTTAATACAGATTTAAGTCCATGTTTTGTATTGAGGCAGCGCAGAACAAAATTTAAGCTATTACTTGTTGTTTGTTTGTTTATTTAGGGTTTTGTTCCCAGGTACAGTTGAGTCCAGACACAGTTTAAAGACTCAAACGTACTGTATTTCTATGAATGTAAGTAAGAGAGCTGAGTAGATAAGTAGTTCTGTTGAGCTCAAGGACAAAGTGCATAAACGTTTGCTGTGTTGTACTTCATCTGCGGAAGTGTTTGCATACAAGCCATATACTATACACAGATCGAAGTAAAGAAAGATGTGACAAAAAAGAAAACTTAAAGTAAAGACAGAAAAGGATATAAGCAATACACATCCTTTTTATAAAAACATGTATGGAACAAGCTAACACCCCTGATATAATATAATTAGTATTGACGGACCATGCAGTTCGGAAATGAGGTTCAGCTCTTTAGCAACTCTCTTAGCAACTATTGATCCTGTTTTCTGTGTACATGCCAGATAGGCAATTGCAATAATGTACCTTGAAATTCTACACCTTCTATTTAGGATGTGCTTTAAGATAACAAGTTCTGAATAACCATTTTTGCTCTTGGATTTTTTTCACAAAACTTACTACATATCCTAATTATGGAGAGTGTGCTAAGTTTTGCTTTACTTTGTTTTCAAATGGGAAAAGACTTCTGGCTTGTTTAAGTGTTAGGTTTTGATCTGGCTGAATTTTCCTCCTCCTCTGAAATGGATTTTCACTTTCTATTACATCATAGTGCTTTATGAGTTTCGTGGTGTGAATTAATGCATGAATAAAGTCCAAATAATTAAAAACATTATTAGAACAGTATTCTTCAGAGGATAGGATTAAAGCTACAGCAAGCCCGGTACCCTGACTTTGATAGTGGCCAATAATGAATATATATAAGGAAGAATTTAAAATCAGAGCAAATATTGACAAAATTTAGCTGGTATATTCTTCCAGTGTTCCATGACCTGTGGTTCAGGAACCTCAGAGCTGAGGGTGATTTCTTTGTTTGCAGAGGTTAACATACAAACTGATAGCCAAGTGGACTTTATCCCATATAGCTGCAGTTTGCAGCATATCATATAGATTCCAGTAGCTCCATCCTACATTAATTTACTTGGGGAACTGTCTAGATGCAAAAGCCAAGAATTTTGCGTGGATTGTTTTATTAGGATTCCAGTTCCAAAGCTAACATATTTAAAAGTAACAAAACTATCTTAATATTAGAATGCAATCTACAAATGCAGACATTCCTTTAATCCTAATTCCATAAATATATATCCTCTTGAGACAACCATCTTAGAAGAGTGTTCCAAATACAATTAATTAGCTATTACCAGAAATATCTTCTCCCAAAGAACGGTCAGACTACACAGTACATGCAGTGAAAAAAAGACAAGACAAATTAAAAGCACTCATCAACTTGCATTAATGGGCTCAAAGTCCAGATGTACAATTAAAATAGAGCACTCACATTCGCAGAGACTAAACTGTGAAAATCTGTTGGGTCCATCTCTAAAAGACTAGTTAAATGTTGGGGGGGGTTGATTGTGGGGGAAAGGGACTAGTGTGTTTGGTTGAAACCTAGGCCTATTTAGCTAACTTCTCTTTTAACGTAATTAGTAGGCAGACATATTTTTGGGACCACTTAGAATTTTGGAAATGGAGTGAGTATCCAGGATCAGCTTTTCTGGATAGAAAAAGATAAATGTATTATTTGAATACAGGCAGAAGGTGTTTCTCACTACAGAAAGAAGAGAGCGGATTTTAATCAGCTAAAAGAAAGATGAACAGGCATCAGTTGCTAGAACCTGCTATGATTTCTAGTCAGGCTGATGGAGCAGTAGAAGACTGCTATTAAAAAAAAGTTACTACTACTAAAACATTTGAAAAGATGATGGTAGCTAATGACTTTCAAACTGCATTCTCTACACATAGATTTCCCTAATGGAAATCTCTTCTCCATTCTCATAATACTTATCTTTGTAAATTAACTGATTTTGACATAGAAAGTTTTGTGAGTTCACTGGAGCATGAGAACACAAGACTGGAAAGAAGTGAGAGACTCTTGCTTATACTTTACCAGAAGGCAAAGTATCATATAAAAGAATATGAAACCATATATAAAAATTATCAAATCTGTGTCTTCCTGATCAAACAGTAAAAATGTTGTTTGTTTTTTTTTTTCCCCATTTACTGGAAGTTTAAAAACTAAACATTCTGAGTAGATCCAGCTTCCGCTTGGAAAATATTACACAGTATTTTCCACTCCTTTTGAAGAAGGAAAGTATTGTGATCAGTACTTGCTTTCAAACTCTAGGCCAAAAAAAAATGTGTGCGTATATATATATAATATATATGCATTCATTCCATGGTTGATCACATAAAGCAAACTGTTTTTAATTACAGAGTTATTTCAAGACTGCAAAAATTTATCAAAATAAAAGACAGTCCAAAACGAGTATCTTACAGTTCAAAGAATAGAATGATCTGTATGTGAGTTTTCCATGGTTACTAGAGTATACAAAAGAAAATATGCAAAACAAAGTATATTAAGAGGGCATTGTTTAGGATATAGTCTATGTATATTAAAAATAGCTGAGAATATTAACAGACCTTGGGTTCGTGAGCTCTGCAGATGCCACACATCTCAAATGTCTTTCTTAAAAATAAACAGGAACAGAGAGGATACCATGCTTATAGATGGCCCGCTTTGCTCCCCATAGGCATGTACTTTTGACGGACAACCAATTTCTGACCTTTATAGTAATTATCAGCTTCAGTGAAAAAGTCAAAGTTTTCCCAGTTTTCAGTTGTGCTCTAAGGGCTTCCATCATAGCTCATTAATGAGAAAATTTGGGGGGCACCTTTTTGTTCTGGGTCTGTACATTGCTCAGCATGAAGGAGCCAGTCAACAGCAAGGGCTCTTCAGCTCTTCCTGCAGCAAACACTTGCCCTGTGACTAAAACCATAAGCACGTGTTTTCAATTATAAACTTCTGCTGAAAAGAACCTCAGTATCCCCTATAAAATAACATTTAGAATTAATTCACTAGATGTTTTTGTAATAAATCAGAACGAATCTTTTTGTAATAAATCAGAATACATTTGTGGCTTCTTTGAAACAGCCTATGAATGTTGTAGGTAACTTGACTGCTGGGATATTTACTATATGAATATGTGGACTTAGTGGGTAGATGCAAGACAAGCAAATAACCAGGAAAGAGAAGAGATAAGCCTCTCAGAAGCAGAGAGCTAAAGGTTAGCAATGAACATTCTATGAAGAAGGGAGGGTAAGATTATTAATGAGATGGGGAGGCAGATTTTCTTTAAACGTTTTGGTTTTATCGTTACTCTAGACAAGGCTGTTTTAATAAAACTATGCAATTTCCGTATTCCACTGTTAGGAATCTCAACAGGAACAAAGTTTCTGAACAACCAAATCCATAGGGCCAAAATAGATTGAACTGCAGCCCAGAGTTTCACCTATGTAAGAGACTGCACCGTGAAGCTTCAACCCAGAGAATTTAAACACATTAAAAGGAAGAGACAAGTGATGATGTGCGTATGAACACCATCACCTGTAGCTATGACAGTAACATCCTTGACGCTCTAACTGAAGGCAAACGAACGTTGCTGCCACTGTAGCAGAGGCAGGGAGTGGGGGGGAGGCTGCTCTCCTGGGGGGCGTGGGTGCAGGGGAAGGCATTTACTTCTGCGGAGAAAGAGAGGCACCAGGAAGATTAGGCAACCGGTGCCTCAGAGAAGGAATGATTGCTTTTTCATGGGACATCTGAAGTCAGAAAGGGTACATAAAAGGCATGGTCCTGGTCTGGCTCGAAACACAAGATTAAATAAGGGATTAACACTCGCTCTGCGTTTGTCAAAAACAGGGAGAGACATATGATTTTTACAGAAATCCCCTTCATCTCCTCCCTATATAGCCATCAAAGGATAGTGCTCCATAACTACAGTGGGTTCATGCCCAAGCCCAGATGATTTATAATTCTTTTGCTTTGGTACTTGCTGTCCAAAAGCAATTCTTTTTTTCTTCTGTATAAAGCAAAGCAGTACCTCACACTTGTCCGCTGCCTTCAATCACAGAGCTTTCTAAAAGCAAATATTGTCACACAGTGGAACAACTTAACCTATTATCTAAAGACTTAGGAAAATGATGGAAAGCATCTCACAGCAACTCTCTACCACCCAAATCCATATGCTTTGGTGGGAAGACATCGTAAGGCTATGTTGCAGATATATGTTACTCAGAAAAGGAGTGATTAAGTTGAAGTCATACCCTAACTTCTCTGCATATTACAAGTAATTCTAAGAATCTGTGGGGTTCACCTCATTTGGCTTCCCATTTTGAAGATGCATCTCACTAGCATTGTAGGAAGGTAACACTGAGTCTTTTGACCAACCGGGGTTTTGATATATCCTCTTGAAAGACCATCACAGCAAATACTTTACATGTGAAGAGATGTATTGAAACTGAGGGTCCTGTCATCTAAATAACCTAGGTTTCCCCCTGTAAGCCCTTTACCTAAGAGAAATGAAGGAGATGAGGCTGTGCAAGGATTACCGAAATCTCACAGAAGCAAACAAATGGAGGTGTTTATCTATAGACTGCACAGTTAAACCTTAGCAGTTTCTCACCAGGGTTTGTTGTGATGCTACACAGATGCTAAGGGCCTGAGTTTGTATCCTGCCTCTCAATAAATCACTATGGGATGAAAGATTTAAGAAAACCAGTAACGACATAATAGAATTGCTGAGTACCAGTTAGCAGTTAGCTTTAGTCCCAAGTCATACAGTTTATAACGCAAATGTTAATTATGCAACGTCAGTTAAAAATCCTCATTTTTTTAGACATATTGAAAATTTGTTATTTATTATTTTAGATACTAATTCTACTACCCAGTTTTTCACAGTAGCATATCTGGTTTGTGTTCATGGAATCATGTTTGTCTACTGCGTTTACAATCAATTTTAATTTTGTTCTTTAAAACTAAGGGTAATCTTTCAAATCTTTCCTCAGAACATCTTCCTGGTCCTTTAATTTTTTTCTTTTAGTTGTAATGCTGCTTATACTAAATCATGTTGTATTACATTATATAATATTATATTATACTATGCTAAGAGGTGCCTTCCCATCACCTGGTATAGTACTTGAAACTAATGGGAGTTTCCATATTTTTCCTGAGGAGCTCCCAGTTCTGTCCAAATTCCAGGAGATACACCACCTGAGTCTGGAATATACTTCTCTTAAAATCTGTTTCAGGATTTTCTTTTCTACTATTTTAATTCATGGGAGCATCTTATCTTTTTAAAGAGTAGGTTCAAAATCAATAACCATACAACTTTTGTCAAGGTAAAGGGAAAAGGAAAAAAGGAATCTCTGCAACATTGCTCACTTCATTAAATCTCTTTTTTGCTCTATGGTAATTTAACAGATGCAGGATCTTTAAATACATCAGTAGGTTGTGGAAATGAAATTATTAGTTGTTATTTATGCTTTTCAAAAACTCCCTTTCCCCCTTCATTTTATGTGGCACTTATTTTCGCTTACCTCCTTTGCAGTAGGCTCTCTTTAAGAACTACAATGCAAACATTTAAGCTCTGCCATTTAATAACGCTTTTTCTCATGTTTTTGATTCCTTCTTTGGGGGTGGAAAGCAGATGCATGGCTTCTGCAATGATCAGGATGTACTCATGGTGTCCATGCTAAGTTAGAAGTGTCAATTTCCTCATCTCTAGCTTTCAGATCATCTTGACTGGTTTCTCCTTTCTAAAGTCCCTTTCTCCAGAGGTTACAGCCAATTTTCAAAATAGTGAGAATTCAAATGTGAGTCTTCTGAAAAGGATTTTGTGTTTAATTACACTGCAGTCAGTATTACTCAGAGGTTTAATGATACCATTATGGAGAACAGCCCTCTGTGTGTCTTCCAACAAATTTGAAAATAATTTTAAATTATTATGAGTGAGTGAGGATTAGGATCCAAAAGTCAATTCTTTGTATCAACTAGAAATTCCATCTCTGCCTAGCTTAAGCATTTTAGCAGATCAGAAATTGAAATAATATTTCTGTTGTAATATATAGTACTTCTCCATTTCCCCTCTGGACAGCATTCATTCATTTTTGTTTTCCTCATCAGAAACTGAGTAATATAACAAATATTGTTTCTTTTTCATAGCCATGTAGATTTTTAACAAATAAACTTTTGAAAGTGTTGCTGGGAATAGTAGTTGCAACTAACTGTACTGTAACTGAAGAAAAAATAAATAAACTTTCAGTGAAGAAATGAACACTAACCGAAACAGGACCTAAATTTAATCAAAAATGTAACCCTAGAATCTGTAACACATCTTCACTTATTTGCAGACTTTCAAGAAATGATCCATTTCCTGACAGAGTTGTACCACTTCCGTTAAGAGAATTATTAGGCTTGGATGCTTAGCATAACTTCTCCTTTCATGGTAAGACTTTAAGTGGTTTTAGAGACATAAAACTGTTGGCCAGAGCAGATTCATAGAAAAATTTTTTTAAACAGCAAATTTACCTACCTAATCTACTTTTCTGACAGTTATCAAGCACAAAAATGTTAAATTGCGTATTTTAAAAAAAAATCACAGAGAATAGATGTAAACTAGAAACTAGAAACAATACTGCAATAAATCTCACACAAAAGCTGTTTCATGTCATGACTGTCTTTCACGGGGAGTCCTTCCCTAAATTCATTTCTTGGTTTCCAAAATTTAATCTTCTTTTTCCCTTGCTGTGCAAATGTTCTGTGTGGAGTAATTAAGGGGAACATTTTCTATCATCTGGCTTTCCAACATTTGTGCTTTGAAAATAACACCTATTTCTGTATCAATTCGATGACCGTAAGAAAGCAGCAGACACCTCCAACTTTAGCTCCACAGAAACTATGTTTTTCATATGTAGCTCCCCTTCAGAAAGAAAGTAAATGAAGTACCTCGAAACTGTAAAGCAGTGACACCCTGGAAGTGTGCAGCTACAGCACTCCTTTTCTTCTTTCTGTCTCTCATTTCCTCCCTGAAGTCTGTACACTGAGCATTTCGATTTCACCTCAAACCAGCCTGGCACATCCCCTCCTTTAGAAACAAAAGGGAAATGTTGTGACACTTTTTCTTAAATGAAGTTCAATAATATCTTTCCATGTGGGTATTTCCCACAAACTTTGTCCCTCCCTCTCTTCACAATTAGCAATGGCAAGTTAAATACACATATTTTTGAGCAGTTGTGTTGTGGGGTAGAGAAGGGACATCTATCTTTAGAACTGTGTTACTCCATGTTCCCAAACTCGCAGCACACGCTCAGTCCAAACACTGAACTGTTGGTTGATTGACCTGCCAGGTTGCCCTTACCGTACACATGAATATAAAAATGCTTTTTTTAAAAAAAAAACAACATTTACAGTATGGAGGGAGAGTGGCTCTGCATTACCCTATAGTTTTTAATCGGTTTTACATAAATTTTTCCCTTCTGACACTGGAGAGCTAATTTATTGAATGCATAATCATGCCAAATAGGTTTTTTTTTGGTTCAGTCTCATAGCACACACTCATAAATGAGTATTTAAAATGCAAATAGCATTTTCAGTCAAGTTAAATCGCACTCAGAGCTGCACTTTTAAAAGTGCAGTTTACCTAGCAAGGGTGGCTTTACTTCTCCAAACTGTAAAGGAATCTCCTACAGACCATTCTCTACTCCCGAGGGGCCTGGAGCCCACCGGTGATTCTGTACTTCCAACATGCCTGCTTTGGCTGCAGGCTCAAGCCAAATTTCCTCCCTCATCTGACTCTGGGACTGTCTGTGCTGGTGATTTAAATGGGACAAAGGCAGATTCTGAGCGCTGGCACGTGATTGTCCAGATTTCTGACTGCTGGCATGCTCTCAGGAATGGCTGGGCCCCCGACTAGTGCTCTCCCAGACAATGTCCTCGTACAAGTGGGGGGCTAGCAGGGCTCAGCAACAGTTTGCAATCTGTGTAAATCCAGCAGGCAGGATGGAAAAAGCCACCCTGGTTTGAAGGGGAAAGAATTTAGCTGTCTGCATTCAAGCCATGCCATGCTATGCTACATAGAGAATGAGGCCTAATCTGCTTTATTTCCTGATACAGAAGCAGCCTGTATGTTTCCACCCACCTGTAAATCCTGTCTACCCTTAAGGCTGACAAAACTGTATCCTTTTACAACCAACCACAAAGCCATGTGGTGCTGTTTCAAAGACAAAAGTGATGGAGGTAACAAAACCAGCCTGCTATGCCTAGACCATTCCACTGAAGGTAGGTCCACTCTTAAATCAAGCGAACGACCGAGTTTAATCCTCCACTGCTCCCAAAAGTTCAGTTGAAATGAAAACTTGAGCATAGTCATGTACTCACTGACTACTGACAGGAGGTTTAGGGTTTCAGTGTAAGTATAGCTCTTTTGTCTATCAAAAGGTGGGATTCTTTCCAAGCATTCAGTAGGGCTGCTCTGCTGTCCCTGGGTATGACACAAGAATCCCACTGCAAACATATTTTAACACTGCAGAGATTGTTACGTGAAAAATCTCCATTTTTAAAAAGGAATGACTATGTTGCTTAATTGCTACTTCCAAGGTGCAAGCAAATCAGTCATAACAATGAACTTTCAGTTCATGCCATAGTACCTGCCAAGCCCAGTCACAACTTCAACCTAAATATACAGGGTAATCACTCTGTCTTACTCTATGCATAGTGGGCAGCTACCACAAAGGATCATTAACCTTGGTTCAATGTTTTAGGGTTATTGCCTCATTCTTCATAGCTGTTTTAGCTGAAATTGAAAAGAAGAAAACAGCAAGTTTCAGGCTGAGGGAAATAAGCAGATAAAGTCTGTCAAGCTATGAAGATGTGAAACCGAGACTATTAGCAACCACAGGATTACACCCAGCACGGGTAAGGAACAGCCTGGAGTCAGATTGCAGTTTCTCCCTTCTGCAGCTGCCAGGGACAGTTAGTCCCAAGTGCAGGCCAGTAGAGCCACCACATGAAATATAGCACTAACCTCTTTAAAATGAAACATCTGGGACAGAATAATCAGAAGGGGTTGTCACTCCTTGTAAAGAAGAAGTAAAACTGACACTCCCCACTAGTTGTACAAAGGAGACGTTAGTTACAAAGATGCAAGAATTTAATTTAACCATGAACTTTATCAGTTTATTTTGTATTTTCATTATTTTCCCTTTTGGAATTTAATATTATGCTGCTGTAACATTTACTCTCTCTGCAATCAAAAGGCTTCTAAAATCAAGTGTCAAAAGTTAGTGAAACAATTATTTTTCAGTTTGAAAACATCTTTGTGATCAGACTTTCTATATTTATAGTCTTGACATAATCCTGTTGAAATGGCAGTAACTGGATGGACGTTTTCAGTGAAGTTACGTGTGTACCATATGCTACAAGGAGATACCTCAACAGAAGACCTGCAGTGCTTTGTGTTAAACACTTTCCAAAGTTTTACCAGGAATACTATGAAACCCTTAAATAGTATTTTTAATTTCTGGGAAGAAAGCCAATCCCAAAAGCCTGAGGTTTGATATTTAAACAATTCTATAGTAGAAAGCTCTTACCAACTTTAAATAGCTCAACTCAATCTCTCATAGAAGTGTGTGTATGTATGTATGTAAATGCATTTTTTTTTTTGTATTTATGTGTAGAAAAACATACACACACAAATATAGAGCACTGGAATGTAAATGAAGGATTAACAGAAGATGTTAACAGAAGACCCCATCTGGAGCACTGCATCCAGCTCTGGGGCCCTCAACATAAGGAGGACATGGACCTGTTGGAATGAGTCCAGAGGAGATCATGAAGATGATCAGAGGGATGGAGCAATTCTGCTACAAGGACAGGCTGAGAGAGTTGGGGTTGTTCAGCCTGGAGAAGAAAAGGCTCCAGGGAGACCTTACAGCCGCTTTCGAGTATCTAAAGGGGGCCTACAGGAGAGATGGGGAGGGACTCTTTATTAGAAGGTGTAGTGATAGGATGAGGGGTAATGGCTTCAAACTGAGAGATTTAGATGAGATATTAGGAAGAAATTCTTTAGTGTGAGGGTGGTGAGACACTGGAACAGGTTGCCCAGGGAACATGTGGATGCCGCATCCCTGGAGGGGTTCAAGGCCAGGCTGGATGGGGCTTTGAGCAACCTGGTCTGGTGGGAGGTGTCCCTCTCTGTGGCAGGGGGGTTGGAACTGGGTGATCTTTAAGATCCCTTCCAATGCTTATTATTCCAAGATTCTATGATTTTATTTGTATCTGACATGGCATGGCAAACCAGCATCTTGTACAGTGTCAAAGGACAGGAAGCAACCGCATTCAAAAGCAACAAGCCAGCAACTGCTAAAAAATGGGGAGAAAAGTGATTTGTGCGACCTGTCTCAATGTTGACTAATTCAGATGTATCAGATTGCTTCTGAAACACAACAGACTGAGAGGCTTAAGTGAGACGAATAGGTCTAATGTGATTCAAAACACACATCTTCCTTAAAAAAGAAACCAAACTTCGCTGTCAGGCCGGTGTGTCCCAGGCACGTCGTGGGGCCAAATGGAAATGCCATGGCAAAGCCCCGAGCGGTGCCATAGGAACTGGGTACCTCTGCCCGGCGCCTCCCCCCACCGCCCCCTCACCACACACCGAGGCCGGGCACCCCCCGAACAGGCCGGCATATCCAGCCTGGATCCTCTTTGCTCTGTTACCTTCCAGCCACCGCAAAAGTAGTTTGATCTTCCCCTAAATCCCGCCTCCGCAACCTCCCAAGGCGACGGCTCCGCTCGCTGCCCTGCGGCCAGACACACCCCCCCCCCTTAGTCC